GAAACCAAAGTAAGACTGTACTTTTACTTAATCAATCAAACGATCCAATCAATCAAGTTGATTGTAGAATAAATGTTAACTTACATTGTAAGATGATTAGGTCTTCTATGTAATCCAGTAGTAGCATATCTTATAGACACTGAGCTGCAAATAAACGTTTAAAAATATTAGGCTTAGATAACATTTTTTAATGTTAATCCTTGAAAACAAATTTAAGAGTTACAGCTAGTTAAATGACTGTCAGGAAGCTAAATAAATAGATAGTATTTGTATACTTCTTGCTACATATTCATTCGTGAATCTTGCTTAATGATTCTGCTAAGGTAGATAAAGATTGACTATTGTAAGAAAACGTGGAACATTCCTGGTGCTCTTTTTCGTCTTGACTAAAAATGTAAGCTTGTGTGAATTTAGTTTAATCTGCGATAAAACTGAAAATTGCTACAAGGATCTGTTCTAGGCTCAATTCTACTTAATCCAAATGTTGTTTTATTGTTTTTATTGGAGCAACATGTTTAATGCATCAGCACTTAAAATTATCATCACTAAAATTATTATTCCTTTTTAATTGCCTTGCCGAGATCATCAAAATTAATTAACTTTCTTTAATCAATAATACTCTATCTTATATTGTTTGCACGCCTTACTTAACATTCTTGATAAGGTGAAGCAATGTGTGATGTGGTCCCCTTATTTGACCCAGTTAACTTTCTTGTAAAAAAAAACTTTCTAAGTGGCAAAGGCCCATGAAATAGCATCATGAAAAGCACCGCGCAACAGCCCAAAAGTGGGATGGCTGAAACGGAGACTGGAGGCTTGCTCTCGAAAATTTTCTGAGGCCATGCACTTAAGAAAGCAGGAAAAGGCCCGTTTCAGAAAATACTTGCTTCTTTCTGCTCTTGATTATAAAAATGAAATTCAGAGAACAAGACAAAACACCAAAGAAATAAATAAAATTGGATTCCTTGTCAAAAAGGAGGATCCGTTGGAGTAAACTTTCCAGCGTTGCGTGAGAGTATACTTTTCTGACCTGTTTATGCAAAAAAGTGGTGGTGGTGGGGAGGGAGGTTATAACCCTGCTAGGCCAATGGCTGTGCGTTGCCTGCATCCTACTGCTGCACTTTTCCATATAATGAAAGATACATCCCTTCATGAAAACATTTATTTTCCTACATCTCCGATCACTTGAATTTTTCGTATCATCTTCAGCTGCGCCTTGGCAAATGAAATGGCAAGAACTAGGGCTCAAGTCATAACCTCCATGAAGGAAATGTTACGAAAGAGATACAATCAGCTAATGGGGACGAAATATTCTTACGATCGAGTGAATTATCCTTGCAAGAAGAAGAAGGCACACAAGTCCAAGAAGGAAAGTGCAAAACGACGACTTGGATTTGGCGGTAGAAAAACAGAATGCGTCTCTATTGATCGACTATTGACTTGGGAAGACGGCCTAAGTGGCAAGAGCTTCACCGTCAGAAAACGATCCAAAGGTTGGATTGGCGACAGCTGGAGAACAAAGTTCAATAAAATCAGAGATGATAGTGTCGAGTTCTTGTGGAAAGAGGTACGTGTTTAATTTAGATCTTCGCGCTTTGCACCACATCACTTCAAAATATAAAGGTTAAGCTTATATTCTCCTTCAAAACATAACAGAGTTCATTACCTCATCTTAGCTTTTTGGTTAAGCTGTAGTTCAAATGCCATTTGAAAGGTCTTTGAAACTGACATTGCATTCTAAATTTGGTGCCACTTAACGCCTCATGGCACACTGATTGTTCGGTTTCTACGAATCTCGTATCAATGTCACTGTTTCCTCAAAAGTTTCAAAACATGACTACCGGCTTTACAATTTTTGCCACCAGAGGATGGCAAACGATTCTCGCGAGATTAAATGCATTATATATAAGTATAGAGAATATGCCGACGCAACCCTACAACCCTAAGGAGACGTCAGTTTTGCGCTTTTTCAATCTATTAACGGCTAGCAACGTCCAGGTATGATAGTAATTGATATACCCTGGTACTTTATGTAAACAGAAACTCGGATAAAAAAACAATCGTCCTTTCCTTCATCATCTTCACCTCCTTCCGCTTCTCGTCATCTTCTCCGATCCATTTCTTTTTTTTCTGTTCCTTTCCATTTCCCTGACTCCTTTTAATTCTTTTATTTTTAATAACATTTTTATTCACTTTCTTCTTCTTCTTCTTCTTGATCATCATCTACATCTTTTTGTGTCCCTCCATTTTATTACTTTCTTTTGCCCTTCTGCCACTCTCGCTTCTTCTTCAGCTGCACCGCTTATCTCTTCTTTCCTTTCAGACATTTGAATTCTACATGGTCCAACATTAGTGCAAGTCTGCAAATTATAACATACAGTGGTTTTTGATGTAATGAAGATAATGAGTCTCTATATGACTGTCTTATTTTTGATTGACAAAATTGTCGAACAGCAAGCTTTAGACAATCACGGTATGCGAAGAAGCTTAAAATTTACTCAACCACCCTTAATTCCTCCCGTTTGTGATGTCTAAAGGTCATGCTTTTATCTTTAGGTGGTGGACAAGGTCAACCAATTCTTCGATCCTGAAATCTGCCTAGAATCCTTAGGATGCAACTGCCCATCGAAAATCCAGAAGAGTGAGATATCTTTCAGCTTCCCTGATGCATGCATCGCTGATGGCGCAGATGGGACGTGCATGCACCCATGTGATGACTTTGATTACAGTTACGAATGGTGCTACATCAACCGTAGTCCTGACCAGTGGAGCTACTGCACAAAGCCAGACCTGAACGACTGCATGCCAGTCATGGTGCCACCCATCACCTACCCTAATGTTTTGCCAAAGCAAAAGTCAAGCAATTGATTAAATATGATAATATTTACTGATGCATTCACAGTTATATGAGTAATTCATCCTCTGTGACAAATTGTTGTCTTCTTGTTGTTCTTTCCAACAAATATAAATAATTTTGAAAATAAGACTGAAAATGAATCTCTTCCAAAATAAAGGTCCAGTTAAAAGAAAAAGTTAATTGTTGGTTCCCTGTCATATATTGACTTTGAAACTTTACAATGTGTTCTAAAATTCCAAAATTGATCAAATACTTGGCTGGTTCCCTCTCAAATGTCGACTCTGCAACTTTACAATGTGGTTTTAAACTAAAAATTGATCAAAAGCGTTGCTAGTTCCTCTCTAATGTAGACTTAGCAGCTTTAGAAGGAGTTTTTGAATTTCAACTTGATCCAAAGCTTTCGAAAATGTTACTGTGAAGAATGTCAATTTGCAAATAGGTGATGCAATAGAATTATTTCAAGACAAAGATCCAAAGTTCTTCAATCTGCAAAACATTGGACGCCTTAAAGAATAAAATACAATGAACAATTTGTGAAAGAAATCTTGTTCGAAAACACTATCAAACCTACATCGAAAATGCCAAGAAAGATAGAGAAAATAAGGTATTGTTTGAAAAGATGAATAAAGGGATCGTGTGGAAAGTTCAAGCTTAAAAAATATTCCAAAGATATACTAGAATTCAATGACTAAATTATATCATATGAATTCCATGATGATGAAATTGATATGTGATATCGACCAGTTTATCAAGAATGATAATAAGCTTTTACCTCTACTAAAGATAATAAAACATGGCATTTTATCAGCTAGGCGCCGGTTTCATTTTATCCATTGGTGACTCTAGCATAGAAGTAAGAACCGGAGGGCACACGAGACACGAAACATGTGTAAAGAACCGATTTGCATTTTACTGAGGTGCTCCCATTTTGACTACATTTGCCCCAGACTTTGGAAACGCTTCGTATATCAAATAGACCTTAAGGGAGAGTTGAAGACTCATAAACAATTTTTGTTTCTTTCATCGTTCTCGATTCGAGGCAGGTTCTGCAAGCCCGGGGGTACTCCCACTATTGCCTAAGTTCAGTCAAGAGGGCAAAAAGCAAAAATGTTAAAAATCACCCTCAAATGATAGTCTTTTTTGACAATAACCCTCAAATGGTAGCATAAATACGGAATATCCTTGGTAGCTTCCATTTCTTTGTGCGCGCATGGTCCTTCTTTGATAAATTTCTTCTCCATTGACTGTTGTTGATTCGAGAAAATAAAATCTTGTTCATTGTCTATAATAAATTGCAAGCTAAACTAAGCCGTTGTGTTATTATCGAAAATGGGCCATTTGCTAAGACCCTCGAATCAACTGGACCCCTCTCAGGCCTTAATAGAAGTAACCTCCTCGTCTAGCTCTGCAAGTCTATAGGAGTGGATAAACAGCAGACACTGAGCATAGTTTATAATTGATTTTTAGTTTTGCTGATTAGAATGACAGTTTTTTTATAAATTTATCAACAAATCGATTTTTTAAAAAGCAAAACTATTTGGCGCCACATTTTACATTACCTTTTTTGCTGAGTATTAGCAAAGACGTGCAAAAAAACCAACTGCTGTACATTGCTTGAACTCTTATTGGTCAATAAGGAATTGGGAATTTATATCTTTAGCCAATCAACAACAATAACGACAATAACTGCCAATCAAATGTCGATCGAGTGTCAATCAATGTTGATCGAATGTCAATCAATGTCGATCGAATGTCAATCAATGTCGATCGAATGTCAATCAATGTCGATTGAATGTCAATCAATGTCGATTGAATGTCAATCAAATGTCGATCGAATGTCAAAAAATTTCAATCGAATACACTATAATTGAAACATTAGTATAACAATTATCTTTTCAAATAAAATAAAGTATAAACAATTTTACCTACGCCGAAAGTTGAAAAAAACTTGAATAAGGCAAACTACCAAAGTTGAGCCGTGTTCAGAAAATCTAAATTGAGGGTTAAATTCAATGGATTACTTTTGTGTAAACCAAATCTTTTTCAAGAGATAGAGATCAATTTTAAAACTTTCTCTAACAAGTCGAACAAGCCAAAATACAAAAATAAGAGGCTGAATTCGGAAGACTCGAGGTCGATGATGCACAACAGACCAGGAAAAATAATCTGAAATGTTGCCAAACCTTAAATTTTAGGAAGAAAAGTCAATGAATTAGTGACAAACTTTAACATTATACAGTTTTCTAGCAATCGAATATATTACGAAAATAAGAGATAATAAGAGGATAGTTATGGGTTATTATTAAGAGTTTGATATTCTGGAATAGAAAGCAGAAAAAACGATGAAAGCAACAATTAAGATATTGGAATAAGGCCATCGATCTTATAAGTACCTTAGTCTACAGAACATTACAGAACAGAACAATTTTTACGCTTACACCATTTAAAGTACAGCAAGTCTTCAAAACTGAAAGTATCAAATGGGGCATTGAAATATAATAAAAGTGCGAAATAATGAAGCTAAAGATGAAGCCAAATAACTTTTAAAACTGATAAATACAAATGACAAGCTTCGTTTAATACCTCAAGCGAGCATTACTCTCAATACCTCATTCATTACTTTCAGACTTGAAATTATCTGCAAATAAAAGAAGGAAATCGACCAAATGATGAACCAGTTATTGATATCATTGTGCAAAAAAGAATACATCTACAAGGGGGGAATACATTTAACAGAAATTAATTGATCTTTAAAGAACATTGTATCTGAATTTTGAAGAAATTATCAATTTCTATCTAGAAATAAAAAAAACGTATTGCTTAACCATTTATACATTCTCTTAAATTATTATACAATGTTTATAAATGTATATGAATTCTGTTTGATTATAAAAATTATAATTGTTTATCATTTATGTTTATCATATCACAATTGTATCACAAACAAAATAACAAAAAATCTTAAACAAAAATACTTTTCAAATACTACAAAATATACAAAAAAGAACAAAGCAATGTCGAGGAATTCCAAAAATTTTTTCAACAGGCTGTTGAATGACTTTGTAGAATTCTTTCTTCAACATCAGAGAGATATTGTTGATATTTTTCCATCTTTTTACTGAAAATCCTATCGTACTCTATTAAACCACAAAGCTCAATTTCAGCTGGATGCCAAGGGAAATCTGAGACATCATCATCGTCAAAGAAATCAGCATAGTTAACATTGTGCCTTTGGCCAAATTTGAATGTATTTGCAATAGCGCTATGCAACTTTTTTAATGTTTTCTCCAACCTCTCCCTTCTCTTCATCTTTGCAAAATACCGAGCAGCTAAGAACCCTTTTTTACTTTTTTTCTTGGTGACTGAGAAATCAAAACGAATTTTCTTCATTCCTCTTTCAATGTGCAACTGCTTTGAATTGATTTTTGTTAATTTATGAATGTAGAAAGCTCTAAATTGTCTAAAAAGAAGCATCAATGAATCATCTGTAGGCAATTCTCCATAAACATGTTTGTTCATAAAGTCTCTGATCATCTCGACATGTTCCCTGACTGATTCATCACAAATAGAAGATCCCTGATAAAAGTTTTCTGATACAATAGCTTCAGAATCTGCAGCCATTTTAGATAAATCATATTCTTTCAATGCTTCCATGTTTAATCTTTGTCTGCCTTCTTGTTGTTGTACCAAATTATCAAAAATTGACGAAAACAATGCCCATGATGGTCTACTGGGTGAAGATGAAGCTGATGATGGCGAAGTCCATGGAGATGAAATCTGTGAAGGTGAAGTTGATGTTGATGGAGAGATTGGTTCTGATGCTGAAGTTGGTGATGATGCTGAAGTTGGTGATGATGCTGAAGTTGGTGCTGATGCTGAAGTTGATGCTGATGCTGAAGTTGGTGCTGATGCTGAAGTTGATGGTAAATTTAACAATGAAGCAAAAGAAGGTTCAGAGTTAGAAGCTGAAGGTAAACATTCATCCTCTGATGGTGTCATTGACGAGCCTTTTTTCTCCTTTAACTCTGGACATAACTCAAAAAAGTTGCTAATTTCTTTATCAATATCCACACAAAATCTTTTCAAAGCAGGCTGATTGTTATGATCAGGTAAGCTAAGCTCCCCTAGCTCTATTAATGTGCTTCTCAGTTTTAACATTGTTGTGGAGAGCCAAAACAATTCAGTTATTTCAAGAATCTTTGGAGTCTAGAAAGACGAAAGATGTTCTTGAACTTAAGAGGAATAAAATTATTATTTCAGATGTGAGAAAATAAGTTTTATTAAGTAATATCTTAGTTTTCAAAAATAAAAAGAATAAACAATTGAGAAATGATGTGATGATGTAGTAAAAATACATTTTTAGAATTGTTCAGTTTTGACCATATATTTCAAAAGAGCACAGGAAAATAACTCTAAATGTGCAAAATCACTGGAATATGTTACAAATTGGCTGAGATATGACCACATAGGCATAGGGCCTTCCGCATAAAACCTCTGTAATTTGGTCTTGGTTCATAACTCAATGAGCCAGGCCACAATAACAGAAATCCTTTAGCAAACTTGAAATCTTTCATTGGCCATATCTCGCCCTGTATTGAACATATCTTACTGATGTTGCATATTGAGAGGTATTTTATGCAGTTTTTTTCAGACAATGTGCTCAAAATTTAGAAATTTAAAAACAGATTTTTGATGATGTCACACTCAAGAACTCTCTATTGTTTAGCATGTCATATTCTTCATTCGTGTTTGGATTGACCTCACACTCACATGGAGTTTTCAAAGTACTGGTTGTGGCCTACAGGCAGTAAAATGCACAGGTCTGGTTTAAACAATAATGCACTGCTCTTAATTTATGTACAGAGAACACATAACCAGAGAGAGCTGAGATAAACATGAGAAATTAAACTACATGCTTTTTAAGGCAGTCTGATTCTAACTTGAAAGCCTCGCCTATAGAGGGCTTTTCTCTGCATTTTTTGCATCCGACTTTAGTCACTGTGGGTAAACATGGCAAAAAATTCCTCATCTTTTGATCATCGAAACTGACTTAGTAGTTCAACACCAAAACAGTTTGATCAGAGAGCGATACACTCTGGTGGTTCTTCTAGGTTATTTAGTGCATTGAACCAACAATGCATGAATATTGTGACCATGATTTCTATGAACTACAGATTACTGAAGTATGTATGTAAAAATATGCGTCTAGCCTTGCTTACCTTTAATTCAAACACCTAAAAGTGCAAATCTGCAAATAATACATCTTCCTACAAGGAAATGGAGGAACATAACTAAAAGCCCTTTAAACCTCCATGATCAATACTGGGAAGAAAAACTTTAGTTGTATCATGAAAATAATATCTTAGAAATATTATTAGACAAGGCCTCAGTTAAAAGGTAGTTCTCATCCCTATATTCAGAGTGGTGCATGGAGTATCATCATTGGCCTTGTCAAATAGTTGCACCCCATGGAACCACTACATGCAACTTTACACCTCTCCAAGCATGCATACATTTTCTATCAATACCAATATGAAGCAAAAACTTACTCAGCATTGTCAATTGAAAATCTTTGGTAAAACTTTATATAACATTGCCATTCCTGAAACAATCCTGAAACACAAGGGGGAGAGGGGGGTAACGACCTTAAATTTTGGCATGACCTTAAATTTTGAGGTAATTCATTAGAAAGGTAATTTGTTTTCAGTTACTTAATTGTATTGTTTGATTTTTCAAATATGAAATAAATTTAGGTGTATTTCATATTTCAAAATTGCACACCCCCTCCTTTGTCTATTGAGGTTACTCCAGGGGTTTTATATGAATGGAATAGGGAACCTAGTCATGTCGCAAGCAAATAACAGTGAATTAATTCCATTCATTGGTTTTTTTAAAATAGAAAGAACCAAAAAGGATGCAGAGAATTTCTTGAGCAACATCCTTGGTTTAACATTTACTTTTAATATTGATTGATATCAGTGGTGTAGATAGTAAAAATTCATAGGAGAGGCAAAAATTTGGATTTTCCCGCAAAAACCTAATAAGCATTCTAAATTTTTTATGAATCTGAACATTAACTACATTAGAAATTAAATAAAACAGAAGATAACGTCTTATTATTTATTCCAAATCAAGTGTCAAAAATCATACTACTTGAAGATTTTCTGTCCTTCTTCTCTAAAAAGGACTTTCAAGACACAATACCTTATACCTTAAGGTTGCAAATCTGATTCAGGACAACAAAATAAATTTTTACATTCAGTCTTAAAATCTTTCCTTTCAAAATGTAACACTTACATAGAAAAAAGGCAACCAATGGTATTTCTGAAAAGTTCAGAAATTTTCTGACAAAAAAGCAAATTATCTTTACAAGGAGGTTTCTTGCCCCCTTCATTTACGTCAATGACTGATACTGAGATGTTATTAACCAAATGAATAACATCATCAATTTTGTACTTTAAATATTTGGTAGTTCTAGGACTTGAGAAGTTTTTCAAGAATAACTGGATCAATTTAAGTTGGTGCCTTGTTGAGTTCATCAAAGAAGGACCTTGTTTTATGGTATGCTGTTTCAAGATTCTACTCACTGCATTTCTTATAGATTTTAATGTGTTTTTGCGTGTCACAAAAATATGAATGCCTTATAAGATCATGATCCGACGTTGTTAAAACGAGGAACAAGCGGAACAACCTAGTAACAAGCGGAACAACCCAGTAACAACCCAGGAACAAGCGGAACAACCCAGTAACAACCCAGGAACAAGCAGAACAACCCAGTAACAAGCGGAAATGTGAAGTTATTGTTTTGTAAATAACACATGGGGCGTTTATAAGCCAACTCTCTAAAGTTCGTGTGGGCTAGCACGTGCACTATCAAGAGGCCGTCAAACACTTCCGTTATGTAATTTTTTGGCAGTTCGCTGCCATTTTCCCTCCTTTTCACACATAGTTTGATGGATCAGAAAACCTGTCGTTGTGGTTTTTTACTCGAATCAAACACCGACATAGCAAGGCAAGGGCTGGTACACAAAAAGCCAAAAATTGAGGGGTCGAAAATTGAGGTGGGGGATAATATTTAGAATATATTAATGGCAACCGAAGGGGCAAAAGGACCGGGGGGTGTCACACCTCCCCGATAGTATCTCAATGAGAAATTTCAGGTAAAATCTCAATAAACTAACAACAAATGTTGCCAAGTTTGTACGAGAAATAATCAGACAAGGCAAAAAATTGGAAATTCTCCTGTGAACTGAATCGAAACTCCATTTCTAGGCATAGATTTTTTACTCATTACTTTTGATTGTACATTATTGATTGTCGCATTTTTTATGTTCAAAATACAGTCACACAAAAATGAAAAAAATAGAATGATATCTATAAACCTACATTTTCAGTAGAGATTCTTCCGAGTTTCTTGTGAGTTAATAACAATCTTAAAAAGTACGTCTATTGGGATGAAAATAGATTTTAAAAAATTAATAAACGAGGAAGAGGGCCTCTTCAGTTTTCAACTTCAGAGTAAGCCTTTATTTGATTTGCATTTAAACATCTCTATACGGCAATCTGGCACTAGACCCCCTTCCCCCCTTAGAAATTTTTTCTATGCCTGATTAATGCCTTCACGGAGGCCCTTAGACATAGGGGGTAAATTTATTGAAAATAGCAAAAGTATGCAAAAAAGACGATTGCAAGAAATGACTGGAAGAAATGTTCTAAAACGCATTTTGAGCTACCATAAAAGCTCTATTAAGCCCCCCTCTCTATTAAGTCCCCCCTTATCAAGCAAAAACTTTAAATAAGCCTCCCCTCTCTATTAAGCCCCCCCCCCTCTCTAGCCTTTGATGTCAAACACAGAAAACATACGCATTTAACCATTGTATTTTTCATGAAACTGAGTTGATATTAACGTTTGAAAAGTTGTTGTAGCAGTAACTATATTAACTTTTCTTGTTATATTAATGTTGTAATTACGTTAGAGGCCATCTTGGCCTAGATATCTTTTTAATAAAAAAAAGCAAGTAGCCTGTTTACTTCATTGTTGTTAATTTCAAATATTTATTGTTAATTTCTCTTACAACTTATAATTTGGATTAAAGAAGAAGTCAACTTTCCGCCTCAGTAAAATTATTTCTGGGCAAACCATCAGTTTCTCGTAGGTACATCAAAGTCATTTTCTCCCCAGGCGATTGAATGGCGCAGTATCGTGAACTAATGATGGCAAGGTGACAAACACGCAACCAATGTTTGGCGTTTTCATCATCATCATAAAAAAATTAATTTATCTAAATACACTTAGTTGAAGAGCCATTCTTACATCAGCTATTTACGTTAATCGAGTGCTTCTTCTTACAAACATAATAAGCAACAATTTGCAGCAGATAAAACAACAGTAGCAACATAAAAAATGCGACAATTAAAAGTGTACAATCAAAAGTAATGAGTAAAAAATCTATGCCTAGAAATGGAGTTTCGATTCAGTTCATAGGAGAATTTCAAATTTTTTGCCTTGTCTGATTATTTCTCGTACAAACTTGGCAACATTTGTTGTTAGTTTATTGAGATTTTACCTGAAATTTCTCATTGAGATACTATCGGGGAGGTGTGACACCCCCACACCCCCCGGTCCTTTTGCCCCTTCGGTTGCCATTAATATATTCTAAATATTATCCCCCACCTCAATTTTCGACCCCTCAATTTGGGCTTTTTGTGTACCAGCCCTTGCCTTGCTATGTCGGTGTTTGATTCGAGTAAAAAACCACAACGACAGGTTTTCTGATCCATCAAACTATGTGTGAAAAGGAGGGAAAATGGCAGCGAACTGCCAAAAAATTACATAACGGAAGTGTTTGACGGCCTCTTGATAGTGCACGTGCTAGCCCACACGAACTTTAGAGAGTTGGCTTATAAACGCCCCATGTGTTATTTACAAAACAATAACTTCACATTTCCGCTTGTTACTGGGTTGTTCTGCTTGTTCCTGGGTTGTTACTGGGTTGTTCCGCTTGTTCCTGGGTTGTTACTGGGTTGCTCCGCTTGTTACTAGGTTGTTCCGCTTGTTCCTCGTTTTAGCAACGTCGGATCATGATCATGCACTTGCAAAATCAAATAAAAAAATATGAAAACAATATGGATAAATTAATTCACAAATGTTAGGAGGCTTCATTGGAAAAAGACATTGCAGCTCTGAAAGTTAGGGAGTGCAAAATAAAGAGGAGATGGAGGAAATCTTTTTTCAAACCATAGCTTAGGCAAAATTGTTGTGTTGAAGGAAAGGAAGGCTCCAATCAAAAATTCTATACTGGAGTACATGAAAATACTGAGATAGAGAGCTAAATTTTGAAAATGGGATAATTCGCTGCCTGACGGCCTAAACAACATGAAATGTTCGGCACAGGCAAATTTCAATATGAAAATTCGAATTGATTCTAAGATCCACTTTTTCAAATGCGAAGAAAGAAATTCCCCGGAACAGAGAGAATAGCTACTAATGTGTTCTTGGCAACATTCCTTAAAACACTTTGATATTCCTTACACAACAATGCGTATAATGTCTCACCTTCATAGATGTATGGTTGCCATTACCTCATTTAACTAACTGTCACAAGAAAGAGATGAAGCATAAGGGAACGACAACTTGTGCAAGGAGACCGAGTAAATACACCAATATTACAAACTCACTTCCCCTCCCCTCCTCCTCGTGCTCTTGAACACAAGCGAGGCTAGTATCTCAAAACGAGATAAAGTAGTGTTCTCCCTCCAACCTTTGCAGTGACCAGCAAGCGGTGGGTTTTGCCCTCGTGCTCAGTGCAGGGGTAAGACACAAAATCAGGAGAAGGTCCTATAAACTGCTTTCCAAACCTTTTTATTTGAGTCTTGTAATATAAGTATTATTTCGAACACTTTGATAAGATCTTTATCAGGCAAGTGTTATTGATAAAATGGAAAAAAACCTATGAGCTTGCCCTGACCTATTTATGATGTACCTCTGCCTTTCTCCACTATCTTAAAATTAATTTATTGTATTCACAAAGTTATAATAAGTTTTTGACAATGGTGTTATTCACCTTATGTAGACCTCAGTTATTGGTTTTTTGCAATTGTTGTCAGAAAGAAATTGAGAATTTCCTGTTCAATTGGGCCTCCTCCAGTGTAGATAGACAACTCCAAATCTTACCCTAACGTTAAATTATATATTTTTCAGTGATGTCTCCGTCCAGGTTGATGATGTTTGTCTCACAACAGACTTCAGGTTTGAAATCCTCGACTTGAAATTAGTCTACACTAAAAACTTCATATCATTTAGATTGTTCAGTTGTGGGTTACATCAAGAAGAAACACCGAAAGGACAATGACAACTGAGTCAGCCATGAAAGAAAATTACAAATTGCAAGATTGTATGTAGCCAACCCTTGTCTTAAGAAAGTATACAACCTTTTAAATGATAGAATAAATGCAGCCTTGAGAACAACCTTAAGATATATACAGCTTAAAATGCAAACAGTATTTCAAATTAAAGATACAGCTTATCAACTTTGAAAACTCACAGAACAAAAAACAAGAAAGAGATAAACATATATTTTGCCATTCATTTCTTTAAAGCTGGTGTGTACAAAATAGTTACAAAAGGCAAATTAAACCAACTCACTAGTGTAACAATATAACATCCCTACTTTAGCAATATCTCAAAGTCTAGTTTATCAATGACAGACTTTTCTAGCTGTGCAAGCAGCAACTTGTGAACCTTCTCAGCCTAGACTAGTTGATCTTTACAACCCCCATAGTTAATGCTGCTGCTTTATTCTGGTGTTTCTGCTGAAGTTTGTAGATCGAGTTCTAACTGATGTTTCAGCTCTATCTCTTGATCAAGTTTAAGGTGCAGATGCTACTGCTGGTGACATAAACTCTCCTTTCAACAAACACCTGTATATAAACAAAATCCAGCCATTATCACATGTGCCTTCACCCCTCAATTTCAAGCAAAAATCAATGTCAGAATTTCTATTCCAATATATTTATGTTTTTCATTTAACATACTTTAACACCATATCTAAATAATATACATACTCTTCAAGTAAAAATGTCCAGTTATCTACAGTATTACAGCCACAAATTTAAGAGTCTTATTTATAATCTGTGTGATGTTGCAGATCTTGCTCAGATGGCCCCTGTGCATTTGCTCTCATCATACATTTCAGTGCAAAATATTAGCACAACTCATCACAGCAAGCCACATTGTCTGTTGGATTATTGACAGCTCTTCAAACATATGTAGCCTACCAGTTACATGCAATCAATGTATTCAATTTGAGACATATATTCATAGCCATGCCTACCTTTGATTCCAGCACATAAAAATGCACACCCAACACATGCTACTCACATCTGTATCTAGCAACATCCTGTAGAGAAATAAAGGACAATAAGTAAAAGTAAATTTTGTAAACCTTTGACCAAAACTAGCAAATACTAGGATGGCAAGCTTTTTCAATACTTATCTTAAAACATATTACTAGACAAGGCCTCAGTTAAAAGGTAGTTCTCATCCCTATATTCAGAGTGGTGCATGGAGTATCATCATTGGCCTTGTCGAAAAGTTGCACCCCACGGAACCACTGCATGCACACTGGCAACTTTATACCTCTCCATACATGCAGGCATTTTTTATTAATACCAATATCAAGCAATGCTATAAGATAACAATCTAAGCATTGTCGAAATTAAAAGTTCTTGATGAAATTGAAACAATCCAAAACCAACTTACTTTATTTACATGTCAACTTTTGTCTTGCAGTTCTCACATTATCTGGCTGTGTATAAAAAAGAATGAATTGTGAAGAAGCTTGACTATGAAATGATAGCATGTAGCTTTTTCAATTCATATCTATGGTGCTCAGTTTTAAAAAGCTCGATTAAGAAACATCAAAGTAATTTCAGAACCAATCATCTCATCACAGCACCTTCTGTTAAGCACAAACACCACTTTCTAACATGGACCTGTAAGCACAAGGAACATGTAGTATTTTCAAATTAACCTTTATTTATTAATGCTAGTTATATAGAACCTTTCAAATTTTTTAAGCTTAAACTTTAATCTCTTATAATTTTGAACCTTTTACTTTACAAATTTTTATTTTAACAGAACCATTAGTAATAGCATTTTTATCTTTACATATGGTGGATTGACAGAATATAATCACATTGTCACGAAACTTATTCCAGAGGACAGCTAAAATTTCATCTTCTAGGGAAGTGCCAGATTTGACACAATAAATATACACACTTAAAAACAACTGTAAAATGATCTTGATATGATTTAAAATCAAATTGTATGATATTACACAGATGATCTGATCCGATACAAAAACATGGTAAAGAAATTAAAAATAATTATTTACGGGTGACTTACAAAGTTTGAAATTCCTCTCCTTGAACCAAGAAATTGAATGAGAAGCACAGTTCTTATGACTGCAACAGAAAAATTAATCTTATTACCATTTAATGACAATTGCAAATGACATTTAAGGCAATCAAAAAAAATACAACTTTGAATTCTAATTCGTAAATTTGCAAATAGGTATTGTTCTTTTGCAATGCTTTGTATTAAATATATATATATCATAAACAATTTACTTTGTGCCTTGTAGATCAACAATTTTTAGTGCATTAAAGAATAAACAAAACCTGCCGTTAAGGTTCATGAGAACATACCCCTTACACTATCAATAAAGCAGGAGAACTGTTGTGAGAGGGTTTGAAGCTGCATTGCAAGCTCAGTTATCTGTTTCTTCATTAGAATCAGGTGAAGAAATTCTTGAAATACATCACAGCAGCAAAGCAGTTGCAATTCCACAAAAAACCCTTTGAAAGTCATTTTTGCTGTTTCCAAAGGAGCTCTATTTAATTTAACACAAGCCTTAAACAAGTCAGTTGAAAAAAAGAACAAAGAAAATAGAATACAATACCATCTTTATGAAAACTTCAAGGTTTCCCAAGGGTGTAAGACCTGGCAAATATAAAGGTATATAAATTGAGCTTTCAAGTGAGTTTTTATTTCATATATATATATATATATATAAGCAATAAAAAATATCAAGATGGAATAATGGCTCTGATCATGTAGAATTCATCATAAAATGAAATCAGGAGAACGGAAATCGTTTAAATTCATCATTGCCATAATAAAAGGAAACTAAAAGTAACCATGCTACATACTTTTCCATGAAAGATGTTGCGGTTGCCAGGGTGGATGTCAGCTTTTGCAAGCTAAAGCAATAAAAAGGAAAGTTTTTTGATAAATTGCAATGGAGTATAACACTACAATTGATAACTGATATCAAACACGCATTTCTGCTTGCTTGCCACATATCATCATTATATATAACTTCTAAAGGCATGTTGGTGCAATTTCATTAAGTTGTCATGGCTCTGATCATGTAGAACTCATCATGTCTCAAAGTCAGGAGAACGGAAATCAAAATATATTCATCATAGCCATGAAAAAGGTGCCAAGGCCTTTAAGGTTATTTTTAATTAGAACAGAATGAGGTTACACCTCACCTTTTGTGCTTCTTGAATCTTCAGCCTGAGCAAAAGATAATATTTATTAGTAATAACCATTAGAAAAAATATTCAAGCAAATGTTCTTTTTAGGCAATTGCTGTCAGAGACTATCAATTATCTTCAAAAGAATTTTCAGTAGAACGAAAGTTTTTTAGTCATCACACAGCAAGTACAAATATGAATTATAATATAGATCAAATTAGAAATAATACTCACATAATATAACAATATGTGCGTCATGTCGCTGCAGAACCATCGATCTAAATTATTTTCAAAATTAACACTAAGTAAACTCTATGAGAGGCACTAAGAATAACAAAATATTTTAGCCCCGAAATTATAAAGGAAAAGGGATAAATATATTTATATATGTAGCAAAATTCAAATGTTCAACACATAAATCTAGACTTAACAGAAGCCATCATAGACTTAAATAAGTTCTCGTTCATTCCATCACATGATGGTCCACCTATCTTTTTTGAATCATGTGGCTTCATGTCTAGGGTGAATTTTTTTTCAAATGCTAAACATAAGAAATAGCAATTAAACAAAGTGTGTAAAAACAGCCTGTTTCTTTGTGTACTCACCTTCTTCCTACATTGTTCTTCTTGGGCTCTTCATATATTTAGTCATTTAGCCAGCAATGCAAACAGAAAAAGGATGTGGATCGTCCAACCTAACATGATACAATACCACATTATGACTGAATTCTTATTGATGCTCTCAACAAGCAAGAGTTACTGCAACCATTGGTATGGTATCAATCAAAATTTCTTAACCAGATTTTTGCTGGAAACTAAGATGTTTAGCCTTGGAAAAAAGCATGGAAGGAGCTTGGGAATTGGGAAAGTAAAGAGAACACTTAGGACAATATTTGCCATTGGTAGTTCCTGAGAATAGGAGAAGAGAGATTCACCCGTTAAGATACCACAAGTGACTTTCCATATCAATGCTGGAGGAAGATCTCCTTTCGTGCTTACAGACATAGCCTCTAAATTTGTAACCTTTTGCAAAATATGTGCATTGCATATCATAAACTATATACATGATAGGTAGTTCTGGTTGCTCAGTCAATGAGGAATTTCACCTGCCCATCAAAATAGATGGCATCATATATTAAGCCCTTTACATTGTCATCACAGCAACCAAAAAGCTAGCTAAAATTGACAAGACAACACATAGATACTTTAGACTAAAACAATTCTTACATTAGCAATAATGTTGCATGTTTCCAACTTGATTTAATCTCCATATTGGCTTGATGGCACTATAAAATAGACAGAGACAAAAAGGTGTAAGCCAAAAAAACTCAAGGCTGAACATGTACAAACTTGGTTTCAAAAACTGTATAATTCCAAGATAAAAATTACATACTTTCTTCTCAAGTAGATAACTTTCTGCTGAAGATCCATGTTTAAAAGGCAGCCCCTGGCCTTATAACTATTGATACTTCTTTTCTGATCCCCAATCTAGATCATAACTGTTGTTCAAGTGTTGCTCAGAAAAGATGGTTTCATTTGTGTACTAGGCCACATCAAGGTATATTAAAGTTACAAGACATCACTGCAACACTCTACATTCTTAATCGACTAATTTACTTTCCATTATTACGATAATTACCTTGGCAACAGTAGACTCCAAAGCTGAAATTTCATCAAAAGTGAGGCAAACCCTGAAAAGAATATTACAACGTTAAATAGTATGTTGGGAACAAAAATTCTTCAAAAATAAGCATACGTAATTTTAGGCCTAGAAGGGTCGACACGTTTTTCAATCGCACGCCATCCTGTAGTGGAGGGCGTTTTGGCAGAGGCGCTTCGTGTTTCAAAATTGTTTCAAACTACATCATAAAAGGTTGCTACATACCCTTCTAGCGCTTGAAATATTTCATTACATTCTGAATTATTCACATGTCACTCAGAAAATTTGAAATCAAGAGGCCATTACGGTCTTCATAGATTTTGATTTTCGACATCACTGTGACAATTGGAACTATCACAACATAAGAAATAATGGCAATGCTAGCTTGCTTGCCATATATTTCTTTCCTTGAGTAATAGTTTGGCAGATATATGAAAAGATTACCTCGATAAAGGAAGATTGCATTTCACGCTTCTTGTTGCACTCACGCCCAAAGTCCAAAATATTGGAAAGAGAGATCAGGCATGTGCATTCTCGTTTTAAGGGCCGATGAGGTTGAAAGCGAGGTAAAATCCTACACATCCACTAACCACATCTTGAAAAGGTGATCTAAAAGACTTAGGATATGAACAAATTTTTAGGTTTTTTAGATCGAGATGAAGAGGTAGTGAGAAAAAACATAACGACGATGTTTCAAAATGCCAAGCCTACTGCAAAATGTTGCTGTTGAAGAACACACCTGGGAAAGGGAGAGTACCTGAAGAGTAAACTCTTACATATGTTGGTACAAAAAGCAAGTACAAGTGTCTTCTGGAGGTGTTATCACATGCAAACAGGACTACAGAGTCCAGAAAGGTGGTAGAAGGCCTTTTCCAAATAGAAACAGGGTGGGAGGCCTTTTCCACATAGAAACAGGGTGGGGTTTGGGTGCGGCGATTTTATTTCCGCTGTTTTCATTGGCCCTCCTTTCAGTCATTGAATGTAGTATAGCCGCCATTATTAATGTAATGTTTCTTCGGCAGCAGCAGACGCCGACTTGAAAATATTTGGTGGAGATGCTTATGGTGGGGGTCACTTGTTATGTCATGCGAACAAAATATAGCTGTTCATTGGCTGCTCAGTTTTTACAAGTCTTTCTTTCAATTATTTTATTTTGGAATCTGCAAAGAATTTTGTTTTTGTCTTTCTGTGTTCTTTGTCTTTTAAAAAATGCTCAAATTCGAAATCTGTCTTTGAAAGACAAAGTATTCATTCTTCGCCAAGGCATACGGCAGAATTCTTTTTGGAAAAACAAATGATTACATTTTTCATCTTTTGAAAAATTAGCCACATTTGCTGGGCAAACCCGAACAAAAATGCCAAGGAATTAGGCTAAACACTGAAGATAATAAACAATTTCATATACACAACGAACACAACCATTCCTCGACTTTTCTATATTAGTTTTCAGATATTGTAGATAAAAAATACACATTTTTACTGTGAACATCAATAACATTAGTCAATATAGTACAACAGGTTATCAATACAAAATTAAATATTCTGTTGAGATTTATTGCCTCATACTGTAAATAATACCACCCTAGATATCTGCAGCGTAATAGAAAATATTGTTACAGATATTAACTGATTGGCCAATATCCCTTAGTTTTCATCTAGATACATTAAACACTCGATATATAAACACTAACGGCACGTGCAATCTGCCTAAAGTAGATTTTAGCTGTCTCTTTTTGTCACAAAGCCTACAAGCCAATACCACATATTTTCACCACTTTCACACTGCAAAATGATCAAGCAAAGTTAAAAATTGATTTTAAGATTATTTTAGGTGTTTAGTAATGTCGCTGTAGTTCCTCTTGAGATATTTTTACATTTTCATTTTTATCTAGATTTGGCGATGAATGTAGATTCTCGTGGTCTATTTAAATATATACACTAGCTTTTTACAAGAGCCAGATAATGCTTGCAGTTCCTCAATGTTCTCTTGAACACTAAATTACAGTTTACGATGACAATCTCTTAAGTACAGTTTATAAGCTGACAAAATCTCATCTGCTTTGAAACATGAGAAGAAATTGTTCTTACGCTGTTCTTTGTTTTTCGGCAAATCGAGCTTCGATCCTCTTATAAAGAATGCTTTTATAGAGAGTGTACTCGATTTCAATTTAGATCGATTAGTGGCGTTGTGAGGGGGAAGGAAGAGGGGGCGGACACCCCACCCTCAATGGCAAGAAATCTCTTTTAAATAAAGCGTTTCTTGCATTCAAATGGGTATGGACCTCCAATTTCTCCTTGCTCAACTCACCTTTGCCCCCCCCCCCCTATCTTACCACCATGGCTACGCTACTGCTTTAGGAAGCTTTAGAAATGTACCATAAACACGAACGCCCGTTTAGCTAGAAGTCCACAACAATTTGCGACAAGCCAGGCTTAACAGGTTTTAGCGCCTCTTTGATGATTTCTATATTCTTCATTTTCAGGGCTTTTGCGTTTATTCTGTTTGGTTAATTTTAACCTATAAAAAGAGCAGACACTTGAAAATATTATTCAGATATAGGCAGCCAGAAATTATTACTTCGGAAAAGAGTTTGTCAAGTCTTATCAAACACTGTATATACATACGTATTTTAAATAGGTTATTGTTTGAGACTATATTACAATTGTATCACGTGACCTGCACGTGGTTTCTATTTTCTTCCAGGAGTCGCTGACCTCTTTGCGGCATTATTTGATGATACTTTTCTTTGTGATGGTTGAGACTTGCTTCGGTCTCCTTTCTGATCCGATCGTACAGATGTTCGGCCTCGTGCCAGTTGAGGTTTCCCTACACTGCTGCCCGAGGCAGATTTTTGTGGATTGGCTGGTTTTGTCTCGCTTGCAGGTTTTGAGTCAACCTTGCCTCCTTTCAAAGCGTTGATAACGCCGGTCGCTGAGGAGATATGGCAAAAGGTAAACATATTATAATGGTTGTTCTTTAGGTATTGATGGCTCACAGCAGTAACTGACTTAGGTCTAAATCTAAACGTACATTTTCATGAATTAGCTCCATTATTCTATCCTACACACTGATTGAAATAAATCACCAACTCTTGTGAGTTGTATATAAACAGTCAACCTGGCTTGGATAAGTTTTGGTGCGACTCTTTCGATTTTAAAAGCATTTAAATGAACAATCAAAATAGAAAGGGAGAATACCCCGCTTTTTCCATTAATCATCCTTCCCTTTCACAAATATCATTTTCTTTCAAAATGGTTCTTCAAAATATCTTGAAAATACTAACAATTATATGACCAGTTATGGTTTAACCTTTTGGGTTTAACTTAGAAATTATCTTGGGTCTAACTCAACTAGTATCGAGTATGGCTGAGGCACAGAACATACAATCAAAAAGAATAAGAGGTGGCGAATGAAGGCAGTGAGATTGTTTGTGTTGCTTAGGATTAAAATGGGATTACCTGCAGCATCTCTCACGTTCTCTACACTGGGATTCCTCGAAGGTGAATCTTCAACCTTTAGGCCTAATTTCCGACGTTCGTCACGAGCTTTTTTTCTTTCTTCTTCCTTCTTTCTCTCTTCAACTTCTTCTTTTTTCTTTTCAGCTTCCAAGACCTTCCGCTTTTCGTCTTCTTCTTTCCACGCTCTTGCTTCTTCAATCATGGTTGAGGACTAAAAACAAAAAAGATCTAAGACCTAAAACGTTTTGATTACATTAAAACAATTTGATTACTGTGATTCATGAAAACAGTCAACTACCTAAAACTCTCTACTTTAGGTAATTTCACGAGGGTCATATCATACCCTTTCTTTCGGACGCCTACTTATAGCAAACATGACATGTTTTTCAAAACACCATTATAACTGTTCTACCATATCAAGGCCTTTGAAAAACATGACGCTATTAAGCTTTGTAAATGCAACCGTTAGAACAGTCGATTTATGTCGAATCGATGAATTTAAACTTTAAGGATTATGCGTGGAATAGGCCAGATATGACCCTTATTATAACAGGTGAAAACTCGAGGTGTTAGGCAGCTACTATCGTACAATGTTCTTAGCCTTACATTTGAACATCAACTCACTAAATTTACAGATGGACGAATTTATTTTTATTTGCCTGACAAACTGACAATACAATTTTGCATTTTTTGTACGCAGAAAAACAGAAGACAAGGCAATGTAGTATTAGGCATATACATACCCAAACAAAAAAGGTGGCCGCGCCTGCGCTCACATCACGTATGGAATCGAGGTCATGCTTCGAGAGGTAAACTTTTTCTGCATATTCGGCCATGCTTATATTGATCTTTGATGGTTCCAGCGTTGTTACTTGCCGTTTTAAACCTTCTTTTCCAGTCCTTCCAAGTAATGCTTGCATGTTTTTCCAAACCTTGGGAAACATGACAAGAAGTTATTTCTACTTAAGTCATAGAAGGTCGTCCCTATGTCTTAGGGGTATGCGATGTTCCAAAAACCTTGCGCAGTTTTTAACAATATTTCAAAGCAATCAAAACTACTGAAAAAACTAGATTTAAAGTTTCGTGAATAACGGAAAAAAATATGAAAAGTCAGTAAGGAAAAAAGGAAGAAAATCCATCTTAAGTATTCACACTTTTCATAAGAACCAAGCCCAGGAATTAATACTAGGTTTCTTGATTTTTATGACTGATTTTCCACTAAAAGGTTTCTTAAACACAAAAGTGCTATAAAGCTGCTTTTAAGAAATACAAAAAATTTAACAGAACGCAACATAAAACATACAACGCCTAATCTGTTGCAAGGGGATCTTCTTTCTCTTAATCTTTTTCAATTAAAACAGAAACAAATATCTTAATCATTGCAATCCCGTTTTTAAAAGGTTGAAAAGCTTTTTAAAGATAAAGGTAAATTGTACTCTCGTTTCTTTTTTAGTCAACCTATGGGTCAATTTTGTATAGAGGGTGTCATATGATCGAATTAAGCGTGAAACTCGGAGTAGCAACTAAGAACCGTCCTGTTCTATACACCAAATAAAATGTAGATGGTTATCTTTTAAAAATGCGTGAAGAGAACTTTGGGGAAATTTCTGGAGACAAAAGAGAGAAAGACTTTGGAGTCAACTTTATTATCTTGAAAATAAATTCCTATTCCAATACAGGAATACATTTCGACATTGGTTCTTTTCACCCTTAAACAGGACTTAGCCACCAAAAACGGTCGATATTTATAATTCCTTTACCACTAACCTTCAATTCCTTTTCCTTATAACCGAGTAACAAATATACTGCGATCATGACGTCATGAACTGCAGGCGGTGGCCTTTGGTAGCTCCTAATCTCAGAAATCGTGCTTTGATTCAGTTCTAAGATCTCCCTTCTCAGCCTTTCAAGACGCCTCAGCTTGTTCAAAAGCTTGTCAGCCTCTATCAGCTCGACCGCGTACTCTTTTTCGATTTTCTTCCTTTTGATATTGTTAACCGCATCCTCTACGTCATTCAAATGACGCCGGGACATTGCGTCTTTAAGCTTCTCACCAGCAACGATGACGTCTAAAGCATGCTCTGCTTCCTCGATGTCCTTCTGTAGTTCTGAAAATAATAAGATTACGTCACGTAGCTTATGAAGATTTTTGTCTGGTGTACACAATTTTGAAAAGAAACTCTTCTGTTCAAAAGCTAGCCTTTATATTTTAAGCAAAAGTGGATGTTAGAAATGGAATGCGGCAGTAGGACTGACGAAAAAGCAGAAAGCGTGCACTTGAAAGTTAATAAAATCACCAAAACACGCCTCAGTGTACCCTGAATACCAGAGCCATCGCCCGCGGTAAAAGAAGATAGGAGTGGAGCAGCGGAGGAGCGTCTATCTGAGCTTCTTCGCAGCTAGACGCCCCTTTCGTATCTCCACTTGGTTTTCTACATACGCGAAATTTTGTTGCTCTGGTACCAAGGGTAGGCTGCATGTCTATGTCCTCCGCGTCGTGGAGTCATGATTGATTGACTTATGTAGTACTAACTGACAAGGCTGCAATTGTAGAAATTCATTGGAACTCAGGAAAGAGGAAAATGGGAAAACTTTGAAAGAGAGTCTACAGTCAGCCTCATTGCTAAGATTTATTTAAAGGGATGGAACATAAATTAAGCAGATTTCGACAAAGAAACTGCACAAACCTGGCATTTTGGCGTCCTTTGCCTCCTTGACTGCATTTCGAATTCTTTCACTCTTCCGACTGTTCGTTGCCGCTTTCATTTGCATCCTCAATCTCTTTTGCTTATTAGCACGAGCTTCTGCCAATGCTTTCTTCTCAGCCTCCTCCGCAAGTCGTTTTGACTCTGCATCATTAGCATTTTTGGCTGCCTCCGCAGCTTTTCTTGCAGCTTCTTTAGCAAGCTCCTCCTCAGCAGCAGCGTCTTCTGCAATCTCTTCCGCATGTTCCGATTCTTCTTTGAGTTTGCGCAGTTTTTCGGCATTCGCTTGTTATAGAAAGTTACAAAAGTCAGGCTGGCAGAAAATTAATTTACATAATACATATCAAAACTCCTTTAGCATTGTAAGGTCGCCATAATAGGAAATAACCTTACACTAACAGTATTTGGTTAAGATTTTCCTAGACATCTTAAGTTGCTTAAGAAAGTTCTTGAAATTACAAAAAAAAACCAGAGACGTAACTAGAAAGAACACTGGGGGTATTTGCTACCTCTTTTGGTACAGAAATAACGAAAGAAGGGTCAACATTATTTTGACCTAGAATGGTGGATTTTAGTAAAGAAAAACCTTATTCAAAACACTTAATCAGGTAATTCAAAATCCATTCAAAATCCTAGCTAAGTTCATGCTCTGATACTTACATTTTTTCATTTTCTCCTTTTCAGCTTCCTGTTTAGCTAGTAATTCTGCTTTCTTCCAATTCATCAAGGCCTCCTGTTTCTTTTTCTCCTCTTCCTCTTTTTGTCGTTGTCTTTCTTCTTTAGCTTTTCTTTTCTCTTCTGACTTTCGTTTTTCTTCCTCTTCTTTCAGTTCTTTTTCCCTTTGCCTTTTAGCATCTTCCTCTGCCTTAGTCTTCTCTCTTTCAAGTCGTTGTTTCTCTTCTAAAATTAGATAATTTATAGTTAGCATCCTAATTACTTAATTCATATCTTAGAGAAAAGACATTTCTACTTCGAAAAACAAATTGGAGCTGCATTGGAAATAGAATATGGCAACAAAGAGCATTTGCAGTTTGAAGAAGGGGCTGTTTGCAAGGGGACTGAAAATAGGTTTATACAAATCAGCCTCATGGGCAGGGATCAGGGGTGTAGTGCTATCAAAATAACAAGGGGGCTCTTGTCTAAAACGACGTGAAAACAATAGCAAAAGTAGAAATCGGCTACTTTTTGGCACTAACAAGGGGGGCTCAGTCCTCTGAGCCCCCTAGCACTTTACCTCTGGCAGGGACGGATTTATGTGGGGTGGGGTGTGGAGGTGTCCTACAGTAATTTTTTGTATCCTTTAGTAAACATTACTTCAATTCTGTAAAAAATATATTTTTTGGAAATCAGTAGTAATTAATAACATCAATATTTTACTCTATCTATCTTCTTATCTCCTTTATATTAAAGCTAAAAACTGAATCTTTAAACTTGGTGTCTCCATCATTCTCCAGTCACTTGAAGGATGTAGCACCAAAATCCAACTATTATCTAACACCCTTCCCCTCAATCCTTGCCACTTAAACCGGCTCCTGCTCTTCAGTATCAAAACTTGAAACTCTATGCACAAGAACAAAGTACATTTTTCTTATATTTCTTAGTTAAGACAGATCTTGTAACAAACTAATTTGGGATGTTGCACATACGCCTTTTGGTAGGCTTCTAAGTCCTATTTAAAAAACGGTATCAACACACATGGTCCTATTTAAAAAATGGTATCAACACACAATTAGCTTCGAACAAAACAGAATAAAGTAAGTGCAAGGTTGATTTCAATGGAGATTTTGTCAACACTGAATATGACTGCTTGCTGATACTGAGCTAGTATGATAGTATTGCAATATTAATCTGGGCAGTTCCTTTACCACATCTAACTTCTTACAAAACAAGGATAATCATAGCAATTAAAAAGATTAGTTAATATGTAAGATGAGATGCATCAGACTAAACAGAATGTTACAAATTAAAAGCCTCAACAAAAAGGAGGACCAAGAAGAGCAGATACTTGGAATTATGAAGAAGAGGAGTAACTCTTGACCAAAACTCCAGGGAAGAGTAGATGGCTAAGATAAGGTTGTCTCAGAAATTGCAGCTTTGTGGATAAACATTTAAATCGAGATGACGGGAATGCGGAAAGCTCTTAAGGATATAAGGAAAAGTAAGCATCAACATAAAGATAAGGCAGACAATTGAAAACATTTATATTGTGCAAAGATTAATGTTGATAGACACCATAACTGTCTTCACAAAAGTTAGCAAGCTAGGTAACTAGCCTCCAACATTGTATATGATTATTACAGTATCTTTTCCAAAAATCCTTGTTGTTCATTATTAAAAATTAGATGTTACAAGTTATGGTACGAATTGCATATTATATGACTTTGATTAATAGCATGGGCTCAATCAACCATGCCATTTCTTGATAAAAAAGCTTTCTATCTTGCCATGAGGGTTATGAACCTATTTATTATCGCATAAATCAAACCTTCTTCCATTTGTTTTCTTCTTTTCCTCTCTTCCTCTTTTCTAGCTTTTGCTTCTGCAATCCGTTTTCTATCTTCTTCCTGTTGTCTTTTAAGCTCTTCATCTGATAATAAAAGAAGTTCTTTAAGCAAAGCAATAAGACTATAAAAAATATATGGGAACTGTTGCAGGGCATATGGGACAAAATAAAATTATTATTTGATCACAACTAAAAGAAATTGCCAATGAATAGCTTGAATATCCTCAACAAGAAAGGATTTGTCTTTGATAAACATGTTGGTGGAAATATGATTTTAATGTCAAATTTTCACTTATTGAATCCAAACCATCAAAAGGGCTGTGTCGTGGTTTTGCAATGAAACCAAATACATGGGGCATTGTGCCTTTTTGCACATTGGAATACTGGCAGATGATGCTCTGGTGCTTCAATATGTTTGAAAAATTGTATTTTATGAGTGTCTTTACCAAAAATAGAAAGGACAATTTCTATTATATTTCCATATTTGTACTGACTATTGACACGAAATGTGTAAAGTGATTGGTCTAGGCCAAGGAAATGAAACTTCATTCAATCAATGGCAGAGATATTTTGTTTATCTCGGTGAACTGTGATGCCATTAGACACCTTACAACAAAATGATCACTCCAAAAATGTCCTGCAAACTTTCAAAAATGCTTTCACTCATAATTTGTACCAATAACATGGTGCCATTTTGGCTCATTTCTATTAACTGCTCCATTTGAGTTCCTGTATCAAGGCTGTAAAGTAGTCTAGCTTGCTATTTCGCATCACCATTGTTGCTCATTTTTCATTTAAGAAAAATTGTGATTCAAGAAAGATTAAAGAAAGAACCTTTATTATTTGTTTCCCTTCGTAAAACATACAAAAATCCGCATGTTTAGCATGATGTGCACAAATATAAAAGACTGTTTTGTTCCATATTGAATTTCCTATTGAATGGCAGTTATTTCACCGGGAAACAATTCCCACTCAACTGGTGGGTTGCCACACAGGATATCCCTTGTAACATAGCCCCTTTAATTGTGGACTATTTTCTAGCCAGCACCCCAATTGGTTATTTTTCCATAGTGCCTTCTTCATTCTAAAGCCTAGCGAATAAAATATGTCTCAAAAATCTAAAGAAAGCAGTTAGAGCTCTGATTTTTAAGTAAAAAATTTTTAACGATGTATTAATAAATTTAAAGCACAAAAATTTGCTCAAATAAGAGCGTAAACCAAATGAATCCTCACCTCTTCTTTTCTGATCTTCTTCTAATGTTCTCCTAGCTCTTTCTTCATTCTCTCTTTCAATTTCACGAACTGCAAAATTATCACAATATACATCAAGGCACACTCTTTTCTATAAAATTAGTGACTGTAAGAAATGCTGTGTTCAATTTTGTTGCTGAAAACAACTGTGGTGATTAATATCTGCTTGCTGAAGGCATTCGGTATTATTGTGAAACAAACTCATACTCGAAGAGATCAATTAATGGGAATTAATTGAAGTAGTCAATGCTGGGTATTCATTTGTCTGGTTGATAAAAAAGTAAAAGTTAAATGATTGGCATGTAATTGGTTGTGATACAGCGTGCTTTTTATTCTTTAGTATGGGCGAAAATATTCCATTTAGTATGATGTTTATCATTCCCATCTCTGGGAAGTTTATCATCAAAATCATTTATAATGTCAATGTAAACAAAGTGCACAGGCAAATATTTCAGCCTTATGCCTTGCTCCAAAACATGACAAATATATCATATATACTTAGTAATTAAATATAAATGCCACAATGTAGTCAACTTAGATCAGTTACTTTCAGAAGCTAGCTGAATTGAGATGACAAAAAAACAAAAAAATCAATATGATAACTTACGCCTCCTTTCCTCTTCTTCCTCTTCTAGAATTTCTTCTATCCATCCCATTGTCGGTATATCACAAAGATCAACCTCAATTTCGTTAAAACTTATCAGTGATCCTTTAGCTGCTCTGCTGTTTAAAAATTTATTCCATCGTCGATTTGAGAAAAACTCTCCGTGGACCATTTTGAACAAGAATTTAGCATCATTTTCACTAATAGCACCTTTCTTGTATCGGTCAAGTAATGCGAACTCCCATTTTAGATCGTTCACAAGAAAATATCGCCTGTCCATTTCTTTCAGAACGTCAACAAGATCCTCTTTGTCACATCTTGTCGACTCACAGACCATCCTCAATGAAGCTTCAATCTGTTTTAGATTTAGGCCATCAGGACGTATGGTTTGATATATTAGCTCCAGTTCATGCGCAGACAGCCCTTGAATCTTGTCAGAGCAATATCTGTTAAACATAATATCAATAACAGTGCTGCGATTGCCTCCACCAAGTACACCACTGGCGGCCATGTTTGTTTCCTTCACCCCTGACTACCGGTGAAATGATCAAAGATCTCTGTGTATTACTGTGATTATGGTAGCTATGAAGCAGCACAACCACTGAGCACAACGCAACGATGCCGCGGTGAAAAATTTGCGCGGGAGAGCAAATTAATATTTGTTCCAGGTTACCAAACAAAAACCGTTAGCAAATAAGGGTAAGATGGTCCTCAGAATATTTTACCATTGTCAATCATAAATAAGACTGAAGGTGGCGTTCTCTCATCATTTGGACCATTTATTTTTGGGCTGTCGGTGCGCCATCGCAAAGACGGCCATAAATAAAAACCCAACCGTTTTTGTGGGGGTTGAGAAGAAGAAAATAAAAATGGCCTTCTTCCGCCGACTAGCAACACCTTGTTCATGCAAGCCATATGGCCATTAACTAATGCACACAAAAAAGAAAGATGAATTTAACATGCCTGCAAACACCTAAAATATCTAGATATGGGTAGGGTGGGCAGGGTCGCAAAGGAAAATCTTTCCTCTCTACGTCTAACTTCTGGTTATCTTGTAACGTGTGAGAATAAAACTATGCCAAGACAAAGTTTATATACCCAAGGCCAATGCCCACTTGCATGCTTGTTGCTTTAGCCGTATAGAAGACACTCAGAAGCTTACTCGAACAGCGACTCGAACACGGCTACAATAAACACAAACTCCACAATCGTGCAATCTGTGTCCGAAACAAAAGCCCAAGGGGCACCTAAACGGCACACCCTGTCACATATTAAACGTCATTAAATTTCATAAAATCAAACTTTATTCAAATTTTTTGCAAAAGAGCCCGATTATCCTTCCAAAAAGCGGGAGATTATTCCCCCAGTCCCGATTCCCAATCGTTTGGTTGTCAGTGTCTGTTTGCTGTATTTATAGCGATCGAAGATAAAATTCAGGAACAAAGCAAAACGGCGACGAGAATCCAATGTAAGAATATAAACTTTCAAAATAAACTAAATTAAACGAATACTAATATTTCGCCACGGCATGTTACAGGGCTTCATCAGAGTCACTGAAACGAACGAGTTGTTAATTTGTTGAACGATCGGAATTAAGGCTAATATCAAACATAAATTCAAATAAATCAAGAGGGCTGTATAACTAACTATAAAAATCAAATGAGTAAGAATTCGGTAAAGGGTAAATATGCAGCATAAAGTGCAACGATAAAGGTTTGATTCAATGCCGTCGAAACGAAATTCATATTGGGGGGGGGGGGCTGTCCATTGTACTATTTCTCATGCAATACACTGTCATACAGGAAATACGATACAGTCTGACAACTATTGGGGTTGGGGGAGCCCCGGTCCCCTCCAGCCCTCCGGTTCCGACGGTCCTGTGATTAAATGTATATGCACATAAATGAGGACATTTGAGCGTCTTGAAATTGTTCTTCAGATTCCAGATTTTGTTCTTGCAAGCTTCTTTTTAGATTTCTCTTCGTGGTGAGATTTCTCTTCTCCTCTGACTTTCGCTTCTTTTCTTCAGCATCACAATTCCAATGTCCAAAATTGTGTCTTATGCACATAGTGCAAGCTCCACATGAGCCATCTTTCAAATACATAAAAAATCGCCACAAAATTGAAACTGGGGGGGGGGGGAGAGAGAGAGAAAGGAGGGGCTAAGAGTCAAGTTTAGTGACATTAAAAAAATTTTGTAGTTAAAAATGCATCTCCAAGACTAAAATTTAACAAATTACTTTACCACCCAGAATAAAGAATTCGACGATCCTCAGAAAATTATTGATTTTTAGGAAAAATTTGAGCGTGGAGGAGTCATGCTTAAAGAGAACGACGTTGGGGAAAGAAACAAAGGGTAACAGAGTGCACATCGATGTGAATAACAAGAAGCTGTCTTATCGATTGAGAGAATTTTACTTCCTGAACAGAAACGTGCATCTCCTTTGTCGATTCTTCGTCTCGAGTATTTTCAGGACGCCATGTTTGCACATCCGAAATGCAGATATTGCAATGATACAGAAAGTTATCCACTGATTTGGTGCAAAAACTAATAGACAAATGATAGAAATATACCTAAATAAGTAAGAACCAAATAGAATAAAATAGGATCAAATAAAATCAAGCAGTACATAAACAGTTTGTTCCCTTTTTACTTCATACTCTGTTTTCAAAAATGATTTTATAAAAGGGTCAAAAAAAATTTATCACTGAAAAAGTTGGCGCAAAAGTCCCCAGCCCCTCAGTGGCGCCGTGCCTGAATACACAACCCCAGAACATTCACCCTGTGACCACAAGCCGCCAACCTCGCCTTCACAACCTTGGATTCTCCTACAAAATGTGAATTTGAAATTGCCTTTCACACGGGTCCATTCGATAGCTAGATAAGAATTTTCGTTGTGATACAATACCTACCCTGGGTACCAGACTCACTATATAAAATAATATTTTATTTCATATATAGTGAGTCTGGTACCCAGGGTATACAATACCTTGGGTACTTGATTTAACAAAATATCTATTATGGTATGTTTGGGTCTCATCGAAACTTTTTAGTTGATATAAGTTGGTTAAATCTGCTGTCGATGCCTTTTGATGAATTTGAACATTGCGGATGGACCGCACCGTATATAAAAAGATCAACTGACCCTCTTTGGAAATAAAAGTCTCCATATCTAAATGAGTGCAACTCGATACAAGGTACGCTGTATGAAACAGTAGAGCCAAGTTGAAAACAGTAGAGTCTGCACGCAGGACAGGGTTGGTAGTTTCTTTTGGGGCTTCAAGCCAAATCAATGTTGGAAAAAAGCCAAATAAAGCCAAAATGTAAACGAGGCAGCAAAACAATAGAACATTTTAAGCTGTAAACGAGGCTAGAAGTAACTTTCTTTGTTCAATCCATAGGGTGCTTGACCCCCTTTAACCCTTACGCAATTCTCTACCCACGGCTTAAGTTTTCCACTCTTGTGAAAATGCTTAGGTATTCTTCAACTGACTGACGGAACACTTTTTCATTGTATTCATAGAATTCTAACACATGATGTACATGTAAGGGAACGCATTTTTAGTAAAATTAAAACAAAGCAACAAGGGAGCAAACAGAAAATTTTAGGCTTAGCCATTTTTGCTATCAGAATATTTACCCTTTCCTCAACATTTTATCATCGGATATCGATAAAGTACAAAGTCAGTTCATACGACACAACCTCCTCCAAGTCCCCCTTCGCATCGCGGTCATCAAATCCCGCTTCAACAGACAGAAAGAATGAAGAACAAAGCGAAAACCCAGTAACAAGGTGGATAAAATCGCAGATGTTCTAAAAAGTGTCAAAATCACAGTAAAGCATATGCATTAACTGCTTGATTTGTCAATTTCTGTTAGAATGATGAAAAAAGAAGGAAGGTAGGAAATAAATACTTATGCCCGTACTTGTGGGAAAGAGCCAAAACTAAGCCAAAAAATGACTTTAAACCAAAAGGAATTTCTGACGCCAAACAAGTTCGAAAAAAGCCAAATTTCTGGAATTTGGCTTAAAAAAGCCAATATACCAACCCCGCTACAACGCGAGCCGCAAAGCGCAGCAAAGCAGAATACGCAAACACGTTTACATGACCTCGATACCAATTTCGCAAGGGAGGCTAACGTTGATGACTTGGATTTGCAGTTGTTGCTACCAAAAAAGTTAGGGAAGTCAAGTTTAACATCGTTTGGGAAGAAATTTGATGATGAGCGGATAGTTCTGTCATTGTACTTTACAAATAATACTTCAATAGATCTAGAATCTATCAAGGAGTAGACCTTAGAGCATAATTGTTGGTGAATGCACATAAAATATCGTGCTAGGCCCTCGCCTTATTTCTGTTTCTGTCTTACCATCTTGTTTACTATTGAGCAGTTCAATTCACAGGGTGTTTGTGGGAGTAACCTGCCTGCTTCGAAGCACGAGCTTGTAAACATTGTGGTTGATGAGAAAGACTTATAGTTATCCACTTTACATGCGAGGAAACTATTTCTGAGACGTAGGAAGCAAGAAAGATGGCTACGACTTTGTTGGATACAACCAACTTTCCAATTTATGCTATCAACATTTTGAGCGAAGATCACTTTGTGGTTGCTGGAGGAGGAGGTGCATCAAAAACTGGAATACCAAACGCATTTGTACGTTTTATGAAATTCAAATATTTGATATCAATTTGAACGATTGCAAAATGAAATCTTAAAAGCGTGAGCTACCAGACCAAAAACAAACTGCTGAATAGACCAGTGTGGATTCCATGAAGCTTTCGCCAGAGATATCCGGCGTAGACTAACGATTTCCCATTGTCTTTCTATTGTTTATTGGTGTATATCCGGCCTGAGTTTCACATGGATTCCACTAAGTTTTTTTCATAGAGCTGTAGTAAATTCTTTTTGCAATCTAAAATTTTGGCGTGCAGCACTCTACTGATCTGACACAAGCATCTGCTTAACTCTTCAGACTGGAATGTCTTTGCCAAAATATTCTTACAATAATTAAACATACATGGACTGATTAAATTTCTTTAAATTCAACAGGCATTTTACAGGATCTGTAAGGATGGCAAAAAGCTCAAGGCAGTCAAAATCCATCAACATGAAGCCCACAAACAGGCCATTATGAACATGGATGTAAATTTAAAACATAAAACGTTTGCTGCAGGAATGGACAACTTTTGTAGATTGTATAGGTATAATGTTTCTATCAATATATACTGTTTCATTTCTGAATTTTAAAATGCCACTGCAACTATGTTCAAGCTCTGAGCTGTAAAAAATATAAAAAAAAATTCATACCCTTTCAATATTAAATCCCTTGAAATAAGGCTGTAATGTATTAGGCCTTGGTGTACCCACCCTTTGCTGGCCTGAGTATTAACAAGTCTTATTTTGGATGTTTCACCCTAGGAAAATATACACAAGCAACTTTAAACAGCAATGGAATAAGTGCAAAGATTTTGAAAGAGTATACTCTCAAGTTCCTAATTTTAGGAGGGGGGGGGGGGGACTCCAATTTTTCAGAAACTTAGCATGAAATACATGATAAACAATAATTTTGTCCCAATTTAAACATAATTTTGGAAAATCTAAGCATTTCAATATATTATGACCCCCCCATTCTAGAGTTTTTAAAAAATTGTAAACCCCTCTCCTTATTAGACCCCCCTACAATTAGGAACTTGAGAGTAAGAAATAAGAAACCCAATAAAGGGGGTTCTAAGGAATCTAATGATCTGAAAAATGCAAGAAAGTTGTTGGGAAGATGCTTTTTACACTCTGGCTTGACACAGGTGAGGCATTGTTACATCTGAGGAGCACTGCCTGAAATTTGAAGCTGTACATAGTAATAGATTTTAAAAATGGTCAATATCCACCCAGGGAAGCATATATGAAAGGGGTTTTTCTGGCAACACTAAATTGCTTTCAACATGTTTATTAACTCAAATAGACTTATTCAAATTTTGCAAAAGATAGTTCCTTTTGTTTTGTACATGCTGTTGATATCATTTATTGTTACAATTATCATACTTTTATGTAGTTAATTACTCTTGATAGGTTTTCTATAGAAGATAAGAAGAGAAAGGAAAGTATAGAATCAAAAGTTACTGTCAAAGAATCTGCTTGCCAAGAAACTGCTGTTGGAGGTGATGATGATGATGCAGAGTATCAGAAATGTGTGAGATTTAGCCTTGATGGGGATTTAATTGCTACAGCTAGCAGCGAAGGGCAAGTGAAAATTTTGAAGGTGAGAAATATCAATTTCATAAAACATATATGTATGCAACATTATATCCCTCACTTTTGCTCTCTGATATAAGGGGTGTAATATCTGTGTTGGATGCACTTTTCCTAAGGGCACTTCAGGTCTATCACCAAAATAGTGGTATTGTCTGCTTTTGTAACTAAGAAAAAGTAATTGGAAAGTAACACAAATGTTATCCAGAGGTCAACTCTTCAGTTCTTTGATGAAAACACACTGCATGTGCATACATTGTCAGTTATCTACTGCTATTTTGTTGATCTAAGCTTATTTAACAAATTATGAGAATAGTAAATCTGTTATCAACATTTTGATAAAAGATTTCTTAGTTGTTTGAGTTTTTTTACTTTTGTGGAATGTAGATTCAGGAAGTAATATTCTGCATCAAAGTGTGGCTGAGAGCTTTTTATAAGCATGCTCAGAGTTCAATAATGTCACTTGTTTAAATATTATCTCTACATATATTGTCTAGCTTGTTTGATGTATCATACTTATAAACAGAGGTTTTGTGTTAAAACAATCTGTTGACAAACAGGCCCTCATTCTGGTGACATACTCCTTTGTATAAACATATAAGCAACATTTCTTTTGATCTATAGCATCCAGACCTGTCAGTTGTCCATGATATCAAAGCTCACAAGACAGACATTGATGAGATTGATTTTCACCCAAATTCAAAAAAGGTTTGTTAGTACTGATTTTGATAGCTCATATTTGTTAAAGCTTTGGCTATTTTGATTAATAAATGGTATGAGAAGCAGATGTGATGGGCTGCAACCCTGCCCCCCCCCCCCTATAATTTCAGTAGGACATTCTAAACAGGGTTTGTATGTGTTTCTTTTTGCTGATGTCCCCTGCAGGCGATTAGAGGCCCTAGAGCTTGATCAAGCACCACACATGGCTAGAATCAAATGCTTCATCAATCAAACGCTATTTATAAAGAAAATGAAAAAAATCAAGTTATTGGTCATATTTAATGATATTTTGTAACATACACTGATTTGACATTCTGTTAACGAATTATCTACAGACTTAACAAGTGATGATAAGCCACAGTTTTGCAGCACCCCTCCTCCATAATAATGGATCTCTTGCAAATGTGGAATATTTATCCTTTTCATGCGAATGATTTCTTCTTGGGCTTGCTTCAGTTCAGTTCATATAATTATGATTATAAAAATTATCAGCATAAAATGAAATGTTTTATCAGAATTCATTGCTGCACAATGAACAAACAAATCTCCATTTTCCAAATGTCATTGAATAATTAGATTATTGAGTTCTGAACTGAGACTGGCAAGGCCTGGTCTTCAGTGAAATAACTTTTTCAATCACCATATAAAGATTTTTAATCACCATATAAAGTTTTTTTTATCACCATATATAGTTTTTCAATCACCACTTATTTTGAACTTGAATTCTTTAACCTATCATTTTCATTTTAGTTTGTGACAGTTTCACGAGATGGAACAGCCTATTTATGGAATACAGATAGTGGGAAGAGAGACATCCAGCTACATTTCTCTGCTGGTCATGAAGACGAAAATATCTTCAGATTTAGGAACTGCAAGTATGAAGGCTGTATTTTGATTTCCAAGTTGTATTATGTTGTATTTTATCAAAACAAAACAATGAACTAGAGGCTACCTCAGAATATTTGTCTTTAAAGGTATCAGCATTAGAAACTGAAATCAGTAGATGTTAAATTGTTTTCTTTTTTAACTTTGTAGAAGTTATTTATTACCAATATATTTTTGAGACTTTGTGACACATCGTGTGGTGATAAGAAAATATAAAAACTGTTTGCTTATTGGTAATATAGGAATGACAAGGTATGGTAACAGCAACATGAAGGGCAGATATGATTAGTAAGTCTTAAAGGCAATTGGCAGATATAAAAGCCATTGATTGACTAAAGCTCAAAGCCATCTGTCAATCAATATTAGCCAATAAGAAACTGAATGATTGGATGTGAGTCATGCAAGGCTCACTGATTGCGCTAATTGTTGATTGAAGCACGGCTTAAGCCACTTAAGAATCTGTTGATTGCCTTGAAATTCTTGGGAGGCTAGGAAGCAACAAAAACAAATAGTCTAGCACTCTATTGCCAGTTTATCTCAGTTTTATAACATTATAATTTATCTTAATTTTTGTGATGTTACATTTGCATTCAACCTGATGTTTATTGCCACAAAATGTCTGTTTTTTGTAGGTTTTCATTGAATATGGACAAAAAGGAATCATACCTTTACACAACTCACGTTCAGGCAAAATTCACAAAAAATTCACCCAAGTTGCCAAATTACCTGGTTTCTTGGGATATGAAAAAGTGCATTCCAAAGATGTATGTTGCTATCAAAAAACACGTCATCACACAGTTGGCTGTTAGGTAAACACTCCTTTTTTCTCGTTCCTGTTCATCCATCAATACTATCATCAATTATCATCATTTATTAAGTTAGCCTTGTAGGTCAACATTTATATCATAAACATTTGAATATATAATTAGATAGTGTTAGCTATTGCTTTGAGTTATATTGTCAGCGGTAATAAATGCATTTAAAATGTCTTGTAGCAAATGTAGAAGCTTGACATGGATGTCATAAATGTTTTCCACAAGTTTGCTCTCTATCGCTTTATACCATTCACTTGTTATCTTTTATTTGGATTTCCATTAGGCTTTCTGTATAATTGAATGGCTAAACCTTTAATTTATGTTCGCTTTCGGCTGAATTGCAGTATCTTGTTAATAGCAAATTTATAAAATTACGTTACGGATATTCTTGCACAACCGGCACGCTTTGCGACTATAAATCAAAGAACCAGCCTAATATCGTACTGCATGAAACTACAAAACACAGTCATTTTCTCAAGACAACTGCCGCTAAGCATGTCGGTTGTGTGTGCAAGAGCCTTTAATGGTACTTATATGTATAAAGAATTGTCCCTTCCGCTTGCTTGTATCCCATTAATTGTTTTAATGTCGACTTGCAGCCCAAATGGAAGATACATTGCTCTTGGCACCGCAGATGGTTCAATATTGGTTTATATTGCTTGGAACTTAAAGGTAACATCGTTTTTTGACACAAAAGCACTCAGTACAATAACCCCCTGTAGTATTCAGTGTAGTGTCGATTTGCATTGTATACATTAACCCCCTGGATTATGTATCAGGCCACTTGCAAGCAGGGACGGAAACTTGGTCAAATATTGGGGGGGGGCAAGCCTATTGTTTTAAAAAAGATAACGTCACATTCCCCCCATTGTTTTAGAACAAAAGGCCATTGTCCTCCAAAGTATTAGGGGGGCGACCGCCCTCCTTGGCCCTCAGGTGTCCACCATTGCTCACAAATGCTAAGTATCCATGCTATACGAATTTGTGATAAAAAAGCTCTTTTAAATAGCTTCTTGATTTGCATCGGTAGGTGACATCATCAATCGCGTGTTTAGTCATTTATTTTAGAAAAAGTGTGTTTCTTAAACTGAACAGTAAGTATCATACTTTCTTGTTCCAGTGACAAAAAGAAAATCCGACAAAACTGCTAGGATTGTTGGAAGAATTTATATTCTCTCTCACCTCCTCTTCGCATCGAGGTTAACTGTGCTAGCACAGGTTAATTCATTCTAATTGAAAGCTACGAGGAGTCTCGAAGAACTCAAATTGGAGTTCGCCGAGGCTCCTCCAATTTTCATATCTAGCTACATTTGAAGAGATCATGACTGTCATGAACAAGGATATATGCCTAAATTAGCTCTTTTAGATGTCATTCGCTTCGTAGCCCATTCCTTTCATAAGTTGCCATAGTTTATGTTATTGAACAAATATAAAACATGTTGTAACTAAATGAAACCTTCATTCTATATTATTTCTAAAAAGTGGAGACAATGGATAGTCCTGTGAACATACGTTTCCTCCAACAGTCCATCGATTAAAGAAAGTCGAATTATGAAGTTTTCGTGCATTTTTTGAAATCATTTCCTTCATAATTTGAAGTATCTACAACTAATGGCCAAAGCCCAGTGTAGATTTGGAAAGTAGGTAGTGAAATGTTCTACATACTTGCATGTTCCGCTGGAACCTTTAGTTCGAATCCAGGTTTGTGAGATCTTTAGACCGGTGCTGTCACTAGCTGCCACTCGACTTTATGCTGTCAAAATTTTTCGAATTTTTTTAAAAAAACTTTCGATAAAGGGGTAAAAGAGCCTTTTTTTTCCTCCATGCATAAAATATCATGCAGAAGTCTTTACATGAATTTATTTTTGTAAAGGTAAATTTTTGAGCCAGAATATCGTAAAATAAGAGTTTCAGTAAACTTTAGAGGCTCTATGTCCCAATCGCATTTCGATGGCCATTCAATTTTCCCATTGGTTGAATTATACAATAGACCTATTGTTACGTATCCAATCGTTAACGTAAAACTATTGTAAACTTTGAAGGGTTGACTGACGAAACCTAGTTCCTTTAACCTCTAATCAGTAGTAAAATATACATTGAGGTTTTATTTTTACAGTTTTAGTCCTATGCAGGCTACTGTTTTGCAAGGCTATCAGCATTTTCAATACAAGCCAACGAAACCTATAGTTGAGCTTCTTAATTAAACAAATGATTACATAATATGTCTAGTCGGGTATTTGAGAAATGGCTGGTACATTGTTTTTATGTGTGTTTATGGATAGAAAATTTTTGATGCGAAATTGTTCCATGTTGAGTGTGGAGAAGAACAGAAAAAGAACTCTCCCGCAACACACCTCCTCCGCAGTCGAGGATTAACGAGCCTAGTTTGTTGTTCTATCCGCCTATCTGATTACCATTGTGAGTCTAAAAGTAGATATCAAGTTATAATTATGATTATCTCTTCTATCTTGCAGCTGCTTCGCGAAATTCCTGAAGTCCACAACATTTTCGTAACAGGCTTAGCCTTTCTCCCAGAGACGAAAACAATTTACGATGATTTAAAATTAGATGTTGCTCTCCTCAGCGTATCCGTTGACAACACCTGTCACCTGACAACAGTTGCTAGAAGAAGTGAGTCTGATTTTACACTATGTTGACAGCCTTAATATAACCCCGTTATCCGTCGTAATGTGATGTCTTTTCAAGCAACTAGTCTGGCAGTTCTCTTATTATATGGCTGGCTTCGAAGCCGTTGCGCAAGGAAGGTTTCTCGATACATTACTGATCATTTCACTTCCAGCCATTGGCTGTACTCCTAACGTTTAAGGATAACAATGAATATAAGGATAACTTCAGTTGCTATAGGCCTCTTGTAAAAGCCTAATTGTACTAGAGGAATCTTTACGAAAATCTTGATTTTCATTGGCGAGTCGACTAAAACGGCCATTTTGAGAGTTTCGTATTGCTATGAAATTGAAGCACAGAAATTTGAACAAATTACTCTTGTTAATTCGTAAGATAAAGCTTTTTAAATATTGACATCATAATATACCTTTGTGGTTTATAGTTCATCAATCTCACAACTTTTATTTTTCTTTTCAGGTGAATATTCATTTTCATTCCTCCTGTTTGCTTTTGTATCTTTAATATGTTTATTATTTTTCATAATGGCTCACTATGATATTAATCTATAGAATATGATTTGGAAAGAAAACTTAGCCGAAGTGAATATTAATGTATTACGTAGCGCTGTAATGAATTAGTAATTTGGACTAAAAATGTGTTATGTATCGCCTGCTTCTTATCAGATTCTGCCGGCCGGCCCCAATACTTTCTTTTACCAACATTTCTTTTAGTCTATCCCGCAAGTGTGTGTCATTGTGCCTATGCTTTTGAATAAAACCCTGAGCCTAGAGGCAATTTCAAAGTTATAGTTAACCACCCTGCTCCGACCAAACAATGCTCGCTTCCTATGAGTATGTATTTTTATACATTTCTTTTACCCTACCTTTCCTGAATTTTCATCATTATTCTTAGGGATTAGTTAAATTATTTTTGTCCAGGGGGGAAGCAAAGCTTTTTCCCGACAACTAGCACTTTGTGGAATAGTTCGATTAACGTAATAATAATCTATGGGTCCGTTACAAAACCCCAAGTGAGTGACTGACTTTTGTCATATGCTGTCTTTCTTATGCCACACCACATTTGCTGACGGGGCTTCTGCATGACCTCCATGCAAGTAGTTTATTGTAATTGCGTCTACAGTATTACGTACACAGTACATATTCAGAACTACTCTTGATAGCAATTGCAATAAAAAGGGGTGAATGTCATATTAGAGAATGGGGGTTAAATGCACCCATGTTGCTTTAAAAAGAGTCATTGCCTGTCCACCCTTCCTTTTTATGTTAGCTGTTGAAACCTTTTGCCTAAGGAGGTATTTTTAATACAGTAGAATCTCGATAAGTTAACCGTCCAAGGGAACAATAGAAAGTATGCAATGTAATTTATTTTCAGGAATCATCGAATCATTTGATGAGTTAATCATAAATCGTTGATTAGTTTTAAATGTTGAAGAAAATCAGACTAGTCCGGTTCAGTTGTCATTTCCATCATTAGAAGATCTGATCTTTGATAGAATTCTTAGGTAACTGCACGGCTTGCTGTATCGATGACATTTCAAGCAGAACTCGTGGTGGAGTTTGATAGATTCCTGCAACGCAAGATCATCAAAATTTTAGTTTTAAGCTCAATCAATGACAATTTCAACTTCTAAACTATTGCAAATGACTATTAGAACATGAAATGTAAGCACAAAGCTGATTTTATGTACCCAGTTGATTTCATATTGATTTTATGGGATTTCAGTATTTTAGTTATCCGAAGAGAACATCATCAGAGATATATTTGAAACTATTAAAAGTACCAGATATTCTATTCATAGGTTTTCTAAGTTTAGGCTCTTTGGAAAGCAGAGTCTTTTTGCCATTCTTCGGTAATACATATGAACTACTGTGCTCATAAAATAAAGATAGATCTTTTTTATATATATTTTTATATTTTTTTTATGTAGATTCTAAGCATAAAATAGATCTTTTTTGCGTTTATTGCATTTACGTACAGGTTATTTCTTTTATTCTAATCGGAGGAATTAATGCAAACCATAAATTACATAAAACAAAAATTTAAGGCAAAAATGATAATAATTTGCGGCTTAACGGCCAACGACCGGAAGAAGATTATAAAAAACAAGGAATTTGTCTACCGCTCCTAGACAACGCCTATTTTTTCATTTTTAAAAATTTGTTTTGAACTTTAAACTTTTGGCTGGAGAAAAGATAAAATCGTGCCTTGAAACGGTACCAAAGTAAGGCTAACAAAATGGCTAGATGCATAAGAGTATAAGAGAAAGCAATTCACATCCACATTTCAGAGTCCGATAGTAACCACACAATGTAACAATTTCAAGAAACGCAGGAATATGGGTGAGAGTTCCTTCGTGCAGACGATTCTACGTTGCTCAATGATTACAGTAACTGTCCTTATACTACAACATGAAAAACCCTAAGACCGTTCTCCAGTTTCAATACTTTCGTCTCTTGAATAGACACTTTATAGAAACTTTCCTAAAGATATTAACTGAATATTACATTAAGAGGTAGAAGTTGAACAAATTCAACTAGATAATAGAAACCTGTTAGTGTAATTGATATGAAACAATTCTTTTGAATCAACATGCTATCTAAAGCTTCAAAAATTCTTTCAATGCAGTTGGTTTTTCCCCAAGGCGTAATTTGCCAGTTGGTATCGAGTATTCAAGATACATTGTCATGTTTCCTAGAAAGATTGTCACCTCCAAATCTCGTGAAATTGTATTATCAAAAGATAGCTCAACTTACCATTGCTTCACTTTTGTTCGGTGACAATTCTCTTTTGCCTTTCCACATTGAATCTCCGCCCCACGAAATTCCTTCAACGTCAGTAACTAAAGCTGCGATTGCCATTATAACAAGGCAGGTAAGTAACTTGTGACATCCAGCCATCTCGCTATTTTCGAACTCGTCAACACAAAACGTATTTTTACGAGATTTCTTGTGCTTGTATTCGACTGCAGACCGTCAGATACTTTTTCATTTCTTGCCACAAAGTTGTCCTTTTTATACACCTAGCAAGAAGGAGTACATTTTTGAGTAGGAGTTATTTCGAAAGAAATAAACTTTAAAATGGAATTTCCACCTCATTTGTTACCAAATCCAGCTTAATTTAATCTAATTACAGCAAAAATGTACGATTTTTCCATGATTTGTTTATTCCGTTTAACGATTTAATTACAAACGTATTAAAAACGAGCAAATCTGTTTTTCTTACTCATTTAAGAAAATCCGTCAGGTGCAAATCCTACACATTTCCACGCGTTAAGACGCGCAGATCTTCACTCAATGAATTAGTTAAATACTGTACTGTAGGGTTTGCTAATAACCACTTCATCTCGGAAATTTGCCATACAGTATCATGAGAAGTCGTTGCTAGGTCTTCCTCACTAAGGGTAAAGTCTTCATTTTCTAACTCGGCCAAGGAGATGACGCTACCCTGTTTATTCTCTAAAAAACAAGGGGAAAAAAATTTGCATCCCCTAACTGAATCTTAAACCCTCTCAAATGATTCTTTCTTTCAATGGAGGCGATTCTGAACACGCGTTTTAAAGAAGAAGTGGAAATATTAAGAGGAAAGCTTCTTTTATGACAAGACTACGACCAATTTTTTTTACCATACAGTGTCAATCCTACCTTCTGGTACTAATTATTCTGTGAATTTTTCAACTTATTGCTAGGCAAAAGGATGGCGTCACAAATGCTATTGGGATTCTTTATCTTTGCCCATAAAACGAAGGATTCGTTTTAAAATTCCTCTTAATATGCCAAATTAGCTGAATGTATTACGAACTGGCTGAGATATGGCCACATGAGCAAAGGCTGTCTCCATCAAATCTCTGCAATTTGGTCGTTACGAGAAATGCCTCACGCCATTAGTTTCATTTATTCAACTACAATCCTTAGCAAGCAAGTCTAAAACTACCTTACCAAAATATCACTGCCGCTTCGAAAATTGTCGACCCCCTCACCCCGTACAATGTTGATTTCTTTTCAAAATACCTTCATACAGCCTTCAGTGAAGAAATTTTGACCTTCAGTATCAAAACAGCTCAATTGAACAACATTGTAATGGGGGTTGGGGGATTTTTCAAAAAAGCTTCAGCTTTGCGCCTCATCTAAAACTACCTTGGATCGGTGACAGTTCCTTGCGTTTTGAAAAACAGATAAAACAGGCCATCACAAATTAATTCTTTGCCGTGAATCCACGCATTGTTTACGGTACAAAAAAGGCCCTTCCTTCATCCAAAAGAGTTACGTTGTATATGAATTTACGTGCCAGTGTGATTCTAGCTATGTAGAACGCACTACCCAAAGATTGGAGGATAGAATAAAACAACACGTTCCGTCTAGTATTGGAAACAAATTCATTCCCAAAGAGAACAGCCACCTCGGTCTTGCAGATCTAAAAGTACAACCAGCGGCGCCTACACAAGAGGGGGCTGGAGGGGCAGCTGCCCCTCCTGCCCTCTTCGAAGAGGGGCAGAGAGGGCAAGAAGTGCCCTGTAATATGATGACTTCTTTGACTACTCTCGTTATGTTAATATCTATTAGAAAATACTAGAAAGATGATAACACCAGCACAAAAATGCAGAGAATGAAAAGTTTGTCTGTGACAAGGTCGGCCACACAGGGAGAGCGGCAAAGATAATAAATGATAAACAAAAGATGCGTACCCTCAGAAGAACTCCAGGAACCTAAGGAGGATAAATCGGTATAAAAACTTAGCGGGCAATCAAAATTTTACAACCAGCCCATTTATAACAGCTATGATTTTTATCAAGCCAAATATTGTGAATAGTGAGTGACAAGGCCATTTAATAACCATTTTCATTTATGGATAATTTCGTCAACATTTTCTTTATGTTTAGGATCTTTGTTGTTAAAAACCCAGCTGTATGGGTAGCACATATTCAAAATAATATTTTAGTATATTACCCCACCCTGGCCCCCCTCCCACCTAGAAATGCTCGATTGTGTTGATAGAAAAATTCAATGATTTGCCTTCGGCACCAACACTGCCCCTCCTGCCCTAATCTTGTGCAGGCGTCCCTGAGTGCAACTAAAACATGTGATTCTGCTATCGGACAACCCAGAAAATCCAGATTGTGCAAAAACTATAATGGCAACATGTTCCAGATTATTGGTAAGGCCCGATCGCCCCTCCATCTAGCAGTTTTGGAATCTATCTACACGTAGACAAAAGGAGTTCGTTTTCAACTTAAGGCCCCGTAACACGAAAAAATATTCAACAAGAATAGTATTATTTTAAGCACAAGATTTTATTCTTTGAATATTCTTCCTTGTATTCCGATGAAGAATTTTTCAAAGAATAATCCATTTGCGTTATCGTCCTATTGTTTGAATATTCTTGTAGAGGTGAATTAATTCAAACTAGATTGATTTTAATCCTGACTTGAAGAATATATTCTGACAATGGAAATGAAGACGTGAACTCTTTTCTGTGCTTTGGTATGCGAGTTGAGCAACAGACAGGAGTGAAATTGATACCGGCAAATATTCTTATAAGCTTTTTAGAGTATTCTTGCAGGAAAGAATTGCAAAAATGTAGTCCCAGCTGGCGAGGGTAGCTTTATTACGTTAAAGACGTTGTTGTAAGTTCCTTTTTCACGTACCCTGGAAAACATGGCTTTTTTCAAAGCCATTTTCAAGTTTTGTATCACCAAAGGATTATTTGCACATTTTGTGTTTGTAAAGTTTTTGGTTTTTGCTTGTATTTATGGTCAAGTTGTGAATCGAAAGAATTTCTGGTAGATCGTTTTGTTTTTATTGGATGTATGTGTAGTCTGATGTTATGCTTGTGATGTCGTCTGCATATTCTAGGTCTACACTCTTTTTATTTTATAAGAACAATTTTATAAGAACACAAGCCTCTAAATTGGTCAAAAGTTAGGAACAAATTAAGAACAAGCTGAGGGTGAGTTTCTGCAAAATGCAATTTCGAACAACGTTTTTTCTCAAAATCGAGGATTTTTAGCCATGTGAGAGCGCTTGTTTCAGTGAACTTTCAAACTCACTCATTTTCTTGGCAAATGAGGCCTGTGTAATACTGCTAATTTTAGGCCTTTCTCTCTAGTCCATTCGTTTGATTTTCCTTACCTAATCACTCTTGTTTATCTGTAACTTTCCTTGCTCGTTCCGCATTTTTCTATCACGTGTATTAGGATAATCTTTGTATTATTATGAGTAACTTCATACCTACGTCAATTATCAGCATGTTAAGTAGATCGCCATAGCAACCCAGTATTTTAGGATATCGCGCTACCCCACCCCGCTCGTTACTAAGTAGATTACTTCCTTTCACCGTTTCATTTACGTATGTATATTGTTTTTAGTTCAGTATTTATAGGAGCCCCGTACCTCATCTTAGGAAGTAAGAATTATGGAAAAGTAACAGCAAGAGAAAGCAGTTTAGGCATGCACCGTTCTAGGGGCAAGATGCTTGTGAAAGATCTTGTCGCCTTCGTCGTTTTGAGATATTTATAGAAGATATATCAGTTTTGGAAGACCTCTGGGATAGTTCTTGAGAAAGATTATGCCCATGTCACGCGTTAATCATTATGCCGTTGTTAGCATGCAAGTTATGTAGCTGCCGGGACGATTTTACCGAAAGAAAAGAAGGAAAGATTTAACCGATTTACGTCGCATCATTTATTGGCCATCCTCTGCTTTTTAAAGGTCCTGAGAATCAATCGATTTAAGCAACATTTTACACCTGACTACCTCCCTAGAGCGAAAAAGCTAGCACTCGCACTGCTTTACACCCTAACCGAATCCCGAGCCCCGAGCGAATAGAACAGGATTTTGAACCTGATGCTCCTAGCATTCAAAACAGGATACAGAGTAGGTAACTATTTACTAACCACGGGATTAGGAAACCCTTTACTCAACACGCGATTCTGAGCAGGTGACTATCACGAAGAAGTAATACTACTCCGGGTATAATATCAGGAGTTATGCAATTAATGAAGATTATACAACACTATTTCCTGGATCACAAAATCATTGCTGACGTGCTATTATGCTGTTGAAGCACACTTGCACATACGAAAGCCCCGGCTCTGTTGGGCTTTTTAACCTATCGGAATGGCCCCTTAAGTGTAATGTTGTATGGGGGGAGGGGGAGATAGCAGACATTCGCTTCAGGTCTTTTATGTAGTCGATTCAAAGAGTTGGCTTATAATGTTTTCTGAATCCTTTCCTTTTGCACTGAATATGATTCACCTATAGTTATAGAAGGCTTTTGACATTCGTAGACCGTCGAAATAGACATACCAACCACCCCCCCAAATGGCTCTTCGTGTTGGAAGCGGATGGGCGACGAAGGAATTATCATCCGATTTTGGTAGAGTTCTGGCGATTAACTTTTAACAATGTTAAGACCGAACTGTTTTTCCAATCATTTTTTTGTTTTTGTTACATGTGATCTAGAAAAATAATTGAAACCTATTAGTGTAGTACATGGAATTCGCCGTTGCCAACCTCTGTTATAAACAATCATGTTGATACAACATAACAATAGGAAAATGCTCTGTTTCGTTGATTACAGATTAATCACTTACACGTTTTTTATAAAAGTTTGTTTAGAAATATAATTGTGTGTCAGTTTAACCTTGTAATCATGGAGTGTGCATCATAAAGCTCTTGAAGTTGAACTAGCATTTATATATGTCTTCGAATCTACATATTGGGTAAAGCATTATCCTATAATAACCAAGGGTTACATTAACGCCCCCTCCTTTTTGATTAGCCAATTGGATTAGGACACCATAAAACATAATAAGATTCACTCAGTGCACCGGGCCCCCCGGATAAACACGCTGTATATATAATCAATGATCACTGAAAGCCTCGTGGTCACACACGATTTGATTTGTCTCTTCCTGTGGCAAAGATGGCGGATGGTAATATTGCTGAAACAGACCTTAGGAACGATTATGAGCGATTTGCAGAAAAAGACGTTGTACTTAACTCTCCTGTTTCAGAGCTGAAGGGAAAGGAAGTTTTAGTTTCAGAAGGGAGGCCAACTGCATGGCTGATAATTACGGCAATAACTTGTTTTCTTGGCTCGTCCTTTCAGTTTGGTTACAACCTTGGAGTCGTTAATGCCCCGAAAGATGTATGTATTTACGCTCATTCAATATCGTAATGTGAACGTTAAGAAGTAGTTTTAATTCATTCATATATATTTCAAAGATTCTTTCATCTTGTTTCACAATCGTCTTTACAGGAAGCATATATCGTTAACAAGTCAATTTATAAACAAAAGATTTCATGTTGTTTCAACAAAGTCCGAATCTGCAAATTTCTCATCTAACAAATGCTAATATTTTTAGTTTTTTCAAAGGGCTACTTCAATACGTTATCTTTAAGAGTATTTTAGTACGAAAAGTAATAGGTCTGTTAAACCAAGTACGATATCTTATGCAACTGTAACTAGCAAGTCATGTGGTTGGGGGTGTGACAGAAATCAAAGTCTGGCATTGATTGATGCCTGGTGTTGCTTTGCGGTGGCGCCATATGTCGAAGTTTCAGGGTTTCAGTCACAGCTCCATTTAAAGCTTTAGGGTGTTTTGTGTGTTTCAAATTTTTGCTTTTTGGATCAGGTACCCCGGAGCAGGAGGCTAAAGCCCCACCACTTTTTGCGAAGATTATTTGATTCCAAATTCAAAGATTATTGAATATAGACTTTTGTGACATCATTAAAGGCATTGAGTCATGATATAATGGATTGGGTATACCCTAAGTGCAAAATCCGCTGAGTCATGATTTTCATGACTGCGATGCTATTGGTTGACCTGGAACTGGTCACATGAACTCACCTGGTACTGATTGATAAAACAATTTCCATCAATAGCAAGTTGTCAACAGCGGATGCAAATATCACATGAAATAGCAGGGATCATGCCAAAACCAAATGACCCCCTATAGAGAAGGCTTATTTACCATGACTCAATGCCTTTAAGCCACTTTATAAAGTTCTTAAAGGCATTGAGTCATGGTAAATAGGCTTTCTCTATAGGGGGTCATTTGGTTTCTGGGTGATCGCTGCTGTTTCATGTGATATTGGCATCCGTTGTTGACAACTTGCTATTGATGGAAACTGTTATGTTAATCAGTACGAGGTGAGTTCATGTGACCAGGTCAAGGTCAACCAATAGCATCGCAGTCATGGAAATCATGACTCAGCGGATTTCGGCACTAAGGGTATACCCAGTCTATTTATCATGACTCAATGCCTTTAAGTGTGACATCATAGGAAAATCTATTTTAGCATTTTTAGATTTCAATCACATAACCTAAAACAAGCCCATGAAAGAACTTCTAAATATGCAAAATCAGTTAAACATGTCCAAAATTTGGATGAGATGTGCCATGAAAGATTTGAAGAACGGATTATTGTTTTGGCTCTGTTCATGAAGTTATGAAAAGCAACAAAACTGCAGAGGTTTGATGGGAAAAGAGCCTGTGCTCGTTTGGTCATATTTCAGCCAATTCATGACGCATTTAGATGGCTTTGCACATTTACAGGTTTTCATTATTGTGTTGCAGGTTATGGAATAAATATTTTAAAAATATGTTTTTGTTATATCATTCTTTCAGAACCTCTTTACGTATTGATTGATATGCAAGGAAAGTAGAGTGACAGTCAAGTTGGCTTTTTGTAAACTCTTAAATCATCATTTTAAATGAGATTTTATATTCATGAATCAAGAACCTCTCTGATGAAATTGATTGTTTGTTTTTCCTTCTTATAGGTTATCAAAAAGTTCTTCAATGGTGGCAAGCAGTTTGAAAATTTGCTTTGGCCAACTGCAGTGTCAATTTTTGCCATTGGTGGGATGATAGGTGCCTTAGTTGGGCCACATTTTGCAAAGCGATTTGGAAGGTACATTATTTATAAATGTTTACCTCTTTTATCAAGTATTAGAATGTTAAATTAGAAACAGAATCAAATGCAAAGTTTTTTCAATGATATACATTATTTGTAATACCTTCAATGAAAAGGTAGTTTTGCCTTCAAACAAAAATACATGTACTTTTAAAAGTATAGCTCTGATATGATAAATATTCATATGATCCCAGTCAGGGGCGGCTTGGAGCAATATTAGATTGGTATTCAAGGTAATAAAAATCTACTCGATAAAATGCCACACCCAAAAAAATAAAATCCCCAAAATATCACACCCCTTTATATAGCCCTGCAAAAAGAGTTTTCAAAATTGGCTTCTAAAATGATGTCTAAATAGTTTTGATAAATTACTTCACCTTGTCCACATTCCAACAAAAAATAACAAGAAACCCAAAACGTTTGTGATGTGCTATAGATCATATTTAAAATGTTTTACTTAAAAGGGTTTATTTGCTAAATATCTCAGTTGTCCAGGATCAACTTGCAAGAAAACTAGATCTCATTTGTATTATGTACCTTCTGCTTGAAAACACATGCTTCATTGCACTTTTGATATACACATATGAAAGGTTATCGGGTAGTAAAAACTGAGGCCTGTATCCAAGACCAAAGCACGGCCAAAAGCCTTTCTATGAAGCCGCACCATATTCGAAGGTATTTAGTTTGGATTCTGAAGTAACCAGATAAGGCCAGCATTTTATTCTGATTATCTGTGTTGAACATACTTTGAAACTTGCAAATTTATAAGCAGTATTCGGTTCCGAAAACACAGCTGCATAGGGACATGTATGCTCAAGGTATTTGGACAAGTTCTGAATAGCTTCACTTTAGAAATTTTTTGTTTAGCCTCACAGTTATCTCTTGTGACTGAGTTCAGGGTCAGTCAAAAACAACATGGGTGTATTCAGGATGGCCTTTGAATACCTTGTGACTGCTGGCTGCTGGCCTCATTGGAAAACAAAAGGGATTAAAAAGTCTCTATACCCACTGTCAAAACAATATAAAGGGTCATTGATTCTTTTTAAAGAACCTTTGCCTGCTTTGTAATGGCATTGTATGGGCAAAAATATAATTTTATTTGGAATTTGATTTTGGAAGGCATACCAGAAAACAAGGACCCAGGACCTTAAGGCAGGACCCAGGACCAGGACCCAGGACTAGGACCCAGGACCTTAAGGCAGGACCCAGGACCCAGGACCCTAAGGCAGGACCCTGGACCAGGACCCAGGACCATGACCCAGGACTGTGTATGTTTTCAATGATGCACTCGCTGTTTCCTTTATAAGAATACCAAGTTATAACATTGCATACCATGGACAATTGTCCATAAAATCCAAAAGTTTTACACATCGAACAAAAGACTGCACATCATTGTAAGGGGGAAATGAATCTGATATTATTTCTGACCTTGTATGGAAAGCGAAAACTCGGGTAGCTCGGGAATATGTAAATGTACGATTAAACCAAAGCAACGCCTTAAAAATGTGGAAAACTCTTTTTGGCCATGCAAACCTGACGTGGTTGTTTTAGCATAGTTGGCTAGCACAGCAATTATTATTCTTTAGTAGGATCGGGGTAGATTTGATGCATACAGCAAAGCCCACATCATTAGCAAGCCGTCAAAGCATAAGTAGTCTTGATATGTTTAAATTGCAAGGCATTAGAATGTTTCCATGCTCTAGAAGCAGGAATGGCTGCACTCCCAGGATCAGGACAGTCCTGGGTCCTGGCTCATGGTCCTGGGTCCTGGGTCCTGGTCCTTTGTCCTGGGTCCTGATCCTGGGTCCTGCCTTAAGGTCCTGGGTCCTTGTTTTCCGGTATGCCATTTTGGAACATATTAAAAGCATTAAAAGTTGTTTGGAAAAAAGTTGGTATTCGTGAATACCTTGAAAACCCCAGCCCGCTGGCCCTGATCCCAGGCCATGTCATATGTCTCAATTGATCGCTTTATCATACTGATTGAAGATATTTGTATCTGTAATCTTTTGTTGTTGCCTTTCAAATTTTTTTCTCTGTCATGTAATTCCTTTTTCTGAAACACTCTAGATAAGAGTGTTTAATTTTTTGCCCCTACTCACCCCCTGTGGTTGCTTCTGCCTCTACCCCCTGCCACATGTACTTTTGTATTGTATTTATTGCACTAATCTTAAAGCATGGCAGCTACTATGAGAAGAACTATTTTAACCATTTGTCTGAAGGTTCCTTAACAGAAGATTCCATAAATATTGTATTGTATTGTATTGTATTGTATTGTATTGTATTGTATTGTATTGTATTGTATTGTATTGTATTGTATTTTATTGTATTGTATTGTATTGTATTGTATTGTATATTATTTAACATTAGTTTTTACAATAGTGAATATACACTAATTAAGAATAACATGAAGCAATTTCAAGGATTGCATAAGAAAGTTCATTTACTGCAAAACGAGCATGCAGACTTGTTTTCAAGGAACCAAGTTTTGATCAAATTCTTAAATTGTCTAGTATTTTGTGCTGTCTTTATTGATTCCAGGAGTAAATTCCAGATTTTATGTCCTTGAAAACTTAATGATCTGATACCAAATATACTAAAATGCATGCGGTACAATATGCTGAATTTAAATAATGATCAATGTAAGTAAATTGTACCAGGAAATTTTTTTTCTAAAATAATTAACGACGTTTCGAGCATAGCCGGTTAACAAGTTTTCCTTAATAACGGGCTGTGCTCGGAACGTCATTAATTATTTTAGAAAAAATTGTTCCTGGTACAATTTACTTACATTGATCTTTATTTAAATCCTTAACAGATGACTTAGATTAAAAGGCTTTTCATACTTACCCTAATATATCTCACAGACCAGTCCTTGGGCTAGAGGGAAATTGCAGCTTTAGCCCCAATTAATTGTCTTTTTATAACACAATAGACTACTATTCCTATTACTTTTAACTGAGTTTTGACCCCCAGATAAAAGCACCCAGGAAAGCTTTATCACAGACCAAACCAGACTAGGAGTACCCTGATTACTATATCTCTATAAATCTGTTTTGAAAATTTCTTCAAAATTGTTTATCGTCTTTTCTAGAAAGAAGACTCTGATTGCAAACAACTTTATTGCTATCATAGCTGGAGTATTTCTTTTCCTAACAAAGACAACAAACTCAATATACATCTTGATTGTTGGCAGATTTTTGATTGGCATTGATGCTGGTAAGTTTCCTATACTGAGCTTTTCATAATTTTATTGGGAATGTTAGTCAGACAAGAAACATGATAAAAATCAGTTTCCAGAAAACGTGTGACAATAACTGCTAGCCCTTCAGAAGCTGGAATTCTTTAGGTATTTTAATTAGATGTGTAATAAGCCAATGTTATCTCTCAACACTGACATTCTGTTCTTTTTAAAAGGCATCAATACTGTTGTGGCACCCATGTATCTCTCCGAAGTTGCTCCAGTTAACTTGAGGGGTTCACTTGGGACCTTGAACCAATTTGGCATTGTGACTGGACTTCTCATATCACAAGTGTTGGGACTAGAAATGGTAAAAATCTTGACATTGTTTGCTATGTTTCAAGATATTTGTTTCTTATAACTGTTTCCTTTGAATTCATTCAGTTACAATTCCGCTCAATTCGATATTTTTTGTAAAAGACAGTGTATCATACATATTAAGGTGCAAAAATAGGGTATAATTCTACATGACCCAGGCTATTCAGTGCACATATAGACTGCTCTGATTAGTAAAACCATTAGTTATACATGTAAACTTGCTTTTGGTGTTAGAATAAGACAGGTTCCAAGTTCCTTCTTTGAGTTCCATGCTTGCTATGATCATTTGATAACATAATAGTTTCAAAGCCCAGGAAACAGTAATTTTCACTACATGTTAACTCTTTTACAATTATCTCAGTATTTGCTGCTCATTATCTCCCTTTGCATTGATTGGCCTAGAGATCAATATAAACCAGTAATGAAATTATTTGCTGTATGCAAGGTTTGACAAGAATCTTGTAACTGTTTCCTTTCAACTCATTCAGGTGCTTTTCTGCTTATGGTGAACCAGCGAATGTGTTAAGCCAATTAAACCTTACCACAGCCTTAAACCTTGCTGACTAAAATGGAAAGGTTATGTTCTGCATAAAGTTCAGTTCTGCATAAGGTTCAAGTTTCAGATTATACTAGAAGACTAGAAGCGCCCCTTTCGTAGCATTTTACATTACCAAATGGTCCAAACTGGCTTGTCAGTGATGCAGAATGAAATTAACAGTAAAAGGATCTGCACGTTTGTGCAATTGTACATTGAACCTAACTTGTCACCTGCCTTTTTGGTTGACAATCACAGCTAGCTATCTTATAAAGTATATCTAGATATGGCCCTAGCTTGATCTTGTTATATTCTGAATATTCAGAAAGAGCCTAGATGTCGTTAACAAAGTGCCAAACTTAATTTTGTCCTATTTGAATTTAGGTTCTGGGAACAGAAAAAGGTTGGCCATACCTATTTGGTATCACTGCATTTGTTGCTATTGCCCAGCTTTGTGTGCTGCCGTTTTGTCCAGAAAGTCCAAGATATCTTCTAATTATTCAAGAAGACGAAGAGGAAGCAGAAAGAGGTTAATTTCCTTTCATTTAGGCTGGACCAAGAATTTCATTCGTGTCCCCTTTTGTCCAAAAACGAAATTTATAGCTGTTTTGTTGCCCAATATTAATAGAGTCCAAAGTGATGATGTCACAAAAATCTATTTTTAGAATTTTTCATTCAGATCACATAACCTGATAGATCTTAATTAAAAACATTTAAATATGCAGAATCTGAGAAATTGGTCGAGATATGGCTGCAAAAGCACAAGTTTTTACACCAGCAGATCATAGACTTTGTTCCAGACCCCTAACTTGAAAGCAAATGGTCTGTGTAACCGAGAGCCAAATGCGTACAAGCGTTTTTCCAGGATCTCTGGGAGAATTGATTATGCATACATAAATTATGCCACATTCATGACAGAAATGAACAACGGCGTAAACATAGCCTAGTTTGCCATGCCAGTTAACGTATTCAAATAGCGAAGAAATGAACACACATTCAAAGTTTCTTTCTAGGAAAACGCTCGTACGCGATTTGGCTCTCGGTTACACAGACCCTCTACTTTCAAGCTAGGAGCCTGGAACACAGGCTATCAAGTCACTGGAATTTTGGTCTCTGTTCATAGCTCTATGAGCGAAGTAAAGGTAACAGTGATCAGTTAACAATCTGAAAACTGTTGAGAACTGTCAGTTTAATAGGCGGTTACCCATGGGGCTATAGTATCATGCAATGAGGCCCAGGGTCTGCAAATTACCCGATTTATTGGTTATTGTATGGCTTCTGTATGACATTGTATTGGTTATTGTATGGTTGCTGTAAAACTAAAATTGAGGGATTCTTAAAGGCCAGTTTAAAAGATAGAAATAGCCTCTTGTTCAACACTTCAAATGCCTTTTATCCTTTACCCTAAAGATTCTATAGAATATTTTCTTAAATGGTAGTGTTTTTCTTATCTTAGCGCTGAGAAAACTGCGTGGTGTCACTGATGTGTCTGCTGATATCGATGAAATGAAGGTAGGATATTCCCACTGGTTGTCTTTTACATCCATAAGAACTTCATAACTCGAAAAATTAAAACCATGCTTTTCTTTTCGAAGAAATCACGAGGTTGAGTCCAAAAAAAGTGTAAATCTTGCTGTACTAGTATTGTAGTCTTGGATGAGGCTTTTTGAAATTCCAAGCTTTTTCTCATGGTTCCATTATTATCTAGCTTTTTCCGCCACTATCTAGGCTTTTTTGAAGTTTAAGGTATATATGTGAATGTCTTAGTTCCATATATATTATATTAGCTAGTTTTCTTCTTGAATTTCGTTAATTATTAGAAAATTAACTTTTGAGATGTTATGAAATTCTACCGGACACCTTTCAACAATGATTGTTAGCAGATTTAGGCAGGGGCGGACACTTTGTCAATTTTTTTGGGGTGGGGGGCAAGCCTATTGTTTCGAAAAGGTGATATCACCTTTCCCATTGTTTTATGTCAATGGATTTAAGTATATCAAAATTTAAAGGAAACCTTTGTGCGAGAAAAGGTTTCTAAGGATTAAGCTAATGCATTGACATGACCTTGTATTTTGCGTAAAAACAGTGCTTTTGATTCTCACACCATAAAGCAAAGCCAAGATATAGTGTTGATGAAAACTTCTTGTTTATGAATTATTAATTTGCTTCATTCAAATGAGCAAGATCGCTTTGAGAAAAGAACAATCTAAACAGGCCTAAGTCGGTTAACTTCTGCATGAAGAATAAATAGTACTGGCGTTTCTTGTCAATATCTATATTTGTTGAACAATGCCAGCCAGTTATTTAGCTTTATAATAGAAAATTATACATTGTGTTTGTGCAAAAATCTATTTCGGCGCGATGTTGAAAGCTGTTTAAGTTAAGAGTTTGAGAATCGTCTGGACTATGATGTGAAACTTGGAATTGATTTGGGAAACCTATTTTATTAGTCTCATTCATATGTAATCTGCAGTTTACTATTATTTTGTGACAAAATCATGTGATATTGTATCTAATGAAATTAAATGTTTGCCGTACAGTAGCAGATTGCTTGCTGCCGTGTAGATAGAGCTATACACGGTTCATCGATGGGTAGGGCAAAGCGGTTCTGTGTTGCTTAGTGATCGAGCTGGTGTGATCGAACCCCAGGGGGGCACTCTGCACTTAGACATACGGGGGGGGGGGGGAAGTCCAAGAAATTTAAAGGCCACCCAAAAATATAAGCTCATTTTCAATAAACCCAACAATATCAGTTTTACTTATATCTTGTACCCAAAAATATCACAAATTGGAATTTTTGGTAAGATAATATGACATAGCTGTAATTTATAAGATCTGCAATTCAAAAAAGCCGTAAATAGTTGCAGTTGCCATTACCACACATGGAGCAAATGTTCAATTTGGATATTCACAACAATTGAAACTAAGAATATCTAGTATCACATCATATATCATATCATATCATATCTAGTATCACACCAGACTTCTCTAGCATATTTCGCGCCATATAAAGTTTACAGTGAGTACAAAAAGTAGCATTAAAACGTCCAAAGAGTATGGTAACATGACTCCCGACGTGACTTGGAAGTGGGTAAAATAAACCTCAGCAAATTAGATCCATGAACAATACATTTGATTCGGATATGGAAATCTCATGAATACCCAAAAATATCAGTGTTTCTAAATCAGAAATATCAGAATTGTATCTACTATTTTCGCAGAACCCAAAAATATCATTTCTGACAAATATTTAACCCAAAAATATGACTTTTGGCAAACATTTGACCCAAAAATTTCGGACTGACCCCCCGTATGTCTGTGTGCTAAGTGCCCCCCTTGGGGATCGAACTGAATCATCTTGCTATAATTACCAAACGCTATTGATGAAATTATGTTTATTAATTAAAGATCAAGCTTTTTTGCGTTGCGCTATGCTCAAGAGCCAATTAAAAAAATGTTAGGGTGTTAATTATTTAATAGGCGATTTCTTATTTCATATTTTTAATTTGATGCTATAGATTTGGAGGGGGTGGGGTAGAAGAATGAACTGATCATTTTCGTTGATTTTTGCAGACTGAAAAGGAACAAGAAGACAGCGAATCAAAAGTATCAATCATTGGCCTGTTCAAGTCCCCTGTGCTCAGAAGACCGCTGATCATTAGCATCGTCTTGCAGCTTTCACAGCAACTTTGTGGAATAAATGGGGTATGACGTAAATATTTTTTTCTTCTTCTGATGAATGGCCCTATAAGAAAGATAGAAACTATTTTTAATCGTATCAGCAACATTGTACTCGCAATTGTCCGTTTATGATATATTAGCGATATAGGAGGCGAAAGTGGCGGAGATAAGGTTGGGGACCACGGGCTGGGGCAAGGGATTTATATCTAAAATTCATTGGTTATCATCTTTGATAGCCTACGGATAAAGCCAGCAAAAACTAAATGTGCACATTTTCCAAGAGGTTGCCTCTATTAAAATCTTCCAAGAATCGTTAGAATCGGTCTTTGGCCAATAAATACAAAAGAAAATTAAACCATTCCCCTATTGTAATTTTTCCTATCAAACTGTTTCTCAGACGTACACAGAATATCAGTTCGGACGTATTTTCTGCCTCGTAGGTACTGTTCTACTCCACAGATGTTTTCAAAAATGTGGGCCTAAGCTTGAAGAATGCCCAGTTGGCCACAACTGGTGTTGGAGCCGTTAGCGTTATCATGACGGCGATAGTGGTAAGACCCTCATCTCATTTTTTATAGGACCTCGGTGGTAGAGGAATACTTTTCTTATTTTACAAGGCAGATTGCAATTTTGAAAGTATGCAATGCAGTGATGCGTTTGTATTAAGATGATTTGACGTCCTAATGTAAATTTTATTGTTCGCTGAGAAGCGCTTACATGTTGCGGCTTCCTAACTCGTAGGATGCTGTAACTATGACGTCATCGGACTGGGACAAATTTTGCATGTAAATTTTGCATTAAAGAGCTTTGAAACGATGTTGTACATAAAATTGTTCAGTAAAAATTTATAAATGTCTATTCTGTTCTATTGTATAGGTGAGACTTGTGGAAATACAAGGCCGACGGACGCTTATGTTATGGGGCCTTGGTGGCATGTTCGTGTTCTACATTTGCATGACGATTGCTTTTGTCCAGGTTAGTCAATGAGTAAGAAGTTCTATGGAAGGTACTTGCATGCTTTTAAAGATTTCAGGCTCAGAGATGATCAGATACGTCATTGGTTGTTTGAGCGTGTCTAGGCCATTATGAGTTTTAAGTCCGGATAGGTTAGAAATGGCACAAACAGAGAGCCTGACGGAAACAGTGCAAACGATAAGATCAATTGTGAAAGAAAAACATCATGATAAGGAATATTTTATTTTAATGTTCATTTTATCTTTTAATAAGCTACTTACATTTAAAGAATTACAATAAATGAAAATCTTCCTATATTTGTGTAGTATTTTGGTCATAATCAAAACCTTATACGACGCGTTTTCCATTTCAGAAAGTGCATGCGTGGGCGCGATGGAGTTCCATTATCTTGACTTTGGTATTGGTGATCTTTTTCCAGCTAGGCCCAGGTTCGTACTTCGAAATTTCTCAATCCTCTGCAAGTTCATGTGATGTTTTTGCTCTAACGGGAAAGCATTATTCAAGAATTCATTCTGTTTTTATTTTGCACAATTTGTTACAGAAGTTTGAGTTCTTTTTCATGTTTGTACGATTCTGTAGTTTATGACAGTAGGGAATAAACAAACTTGTGAATTCACAATTATGATTCCAGATAGACAAAAGCCTTCATGAGTTACATCTGATCAAGAATACTTCCCCGATGTTCATTGTATTAGGTCTTCGGTTTTCAGGTGTGCAATGATAATGTACCACGGCAAGCAAAAATTGATATGAGCAAATTCTTTCATAGTCAAGAAAACGGTATCCTGCGAGAAACAAGGACTGATATTTAAATGCATGAAGTGGTGATATGCCTAAATGTGGATAAAGAATCTTCGTTCGTTAATGTTTCTCGCTAAATGAGAATACATTTTTTAGATTGCAAAGTTTCATTCAAAGACTAAAGCCAATTTATCTTGGGACTTGCTCTTGAGCTTCTGTCTATTTTTGTTTTTAGGCCCAATCCCATGGTTCATAGTTGCAGAGCTATTTTCCCAAGGTCCTTTGCCAGCTGCAATAAGTGTGTCTGGGATGACAAACTGGCTCTCAAGTTTCATCGTCGGTATTACCTTTCCTGGCCTACAGGTATCTTCAAAGGCTATATCATCATATTATACTTGTAAAGCTCAAATTCTGTCTTTTTCACAATGTACCATTCAATTCTATTATAAGTAGAAGAGTGTCTCAAAGTAAATAAGAGTTACTCTTCCTTTTGGAAATATGAGAAGAAGTTTTTGATTCTCAGCTATAAACATTGGCAGTCAAAAATTAAAATTTGAGGTTGAAATACTTGCAGTTTTTATAAATTGAACCTGAGTAATGGACAATGATACAAATGATGTACTTTTTCTACGTGAAAAAAAATAAAAATGGCGAATAGGGACTGAGATATGAACGACTAAAGGATTGATGTAGGAGTGCAGAGATTTGTTACTCGCACTGCATGACGGGTACGTTTTAGGACCATTAAAGGGCATAAAACTTGACGTTGAAAAAGGTTTTGCAGCTCAAAGTCCCTTCGAAAGAAAGGTTTGCACAACTACGGTATAAAGAGTAACCATGGAAAAAGATGCTACTACTTTTAAGCAAAAAGCCCGTATTATCTGATCACATGATCTCCAAGATTGGAATGCGCATGAAAGGAAGAATTTCCTTTTCTCCTTGTCATTTCCGTAATTTCTTGGACTGCACTGGGCCTAAGAATGTGGACACTTTTAGTATGTCTCCACTCTTCTGGCACGAAATTCCAAAAGTAATGTATTTATCACTGTGGTTTAAAAGTTCGCAGTTACCTGTCAAATATTGAAACATGATCTGGTTTAAGTCTGCTGCAAGTACACGTTCGAGATGTTTTTAAGTTTTCTTTGGTAGTTATTTTACTTTCGAAACGCTCCCCTTCGCCATACGCAATCACGGCGACTTTGCAAAACAATATCTTTGTTCATCATGTGATCTTTCTCTTAATTCCAAACGGGCCAAACGTTTCAACATGACGCTGTACAAAAATGTCGTTTCGCGTGCATAACCAGCATGCATGGATAGTTCTCTAAAATTTTCTGTGTGAGGTAAACTTGTTGTGATCTATTCATTTGTTTTGCAGGAAAAGATTAAACCATACACGTTTGTCCCGTTTATTGTTCTTGTCTTGCTGTTTTGGCTTTTCACAAAGTTTTTCGTCCCAGAAACGAAAGGAAGAACAGTAAACGACATTATGAGAAGCCTTGAGAAGAAGTCGTATGGTTCTACGGAGCAAGGAGAAATTCAATCTTCAAAAGCTCAGCTTTTTGATTAAATTTGAAATTCTACCGTGACCTAGTCACTATATAAATAGGAACATTATATCCTGGATGCCACGAACGGTCTGCTGTATTGAGGGGCGCAGTGGCTGGGGACAGGGGTTCATAGCCCCCACCTAGAGAACCAAATTTGTCAGAAAATTTTGGAAATGTTGCTACTTTGTCGGCGTTTTTTGAAAAAATGTTTCCTTTAGCAATACCCCACCCCCTATCTCTAAAAAACTTCAATTTTCACTGCGCCCCTGGCTGTATTATGCCTTTGTACATTGATCTCTGTTTTGACTGCATTTGATTGGCATGCCGTTTTTGAAAATTCCCTCCATAGCACCCCTGTACTTTTATTTAAATTTTATGGGCTTTGACACGTTTTTCTCAATCTATCGTTTTAAACAATCAATCAATTTAACGAAAACAAAACAGATTTCCATCCAATGTCTACGAGATCTTCATGGAGCGATTTGCCCCTCAATTGCTACCGCAGCAACAACTGCAAAACAAAAATTGTAAGGAAAAGAACACAACCTTTTTTTGTGAAGCTCTGATTTCTATAAAAAATAATTTAGGCCTAAGAAAATTTTATCAAATTCAATGTTTATGGCTCCTAGGCCCAAAGTGATAACACCTCAAGTTCATATTATCCTTTTACCCTCGGTCGGAAACTTGAACGTGAAATCGAAGACTCGTGACAAAGTGTTACGTATATAGTACAGTATATAAAAAGAAACGTCATTTATATCATTCTGTAAATCAACCAAACAGATGTTGCCCAAACGGATATTACCCAAAAGGAAGTAACCATTGCAAAGTCTGACAGAAACCAATTAGAGTCGTATTTGCTTATGTTTTTATGAATAAATACGTTTTTGCTCATAGTTTTTTTTACCATAAGCGTTTATTCACATTCCACTTTAAACTCATAGGTCTTATTAAAGCATTTCAGCACATTAAAAAGAAAATAGGTTGTTTTTGTAGCGTCTTATTTGTCTGTTACATTATTATTCAACTATGTTTTATCGTGTTACAGTATTTCTCACATGCACGTTTCATTGGTATAAATACCAGTATTAAGTATGTAAAAAGATAAAAATTGCACACAACGTAGCAAATAGGCTAGCTGTAGCCGTAACCGTAGCCATAACCGTAGCCACAGCCATAACCTTAACCGTAGACTGAGAAGTATGTATAGTCCTAGCTGCAATTGTGTTTTACTCAATTTTGCATCGTTAAATTTGCACTTAAAAAGTCAAAGCGTATATTTCTAGTAACAGTGTCAAAAAATCCTTAGACGACCCGCTTGATTTTCTTCTTATTTAAAACTGAATTTGTTCTTGGTTGACTTAATTCTCACAGATATAATACAATTGAAATTAATTCAGGTTTTGAATCATCACGATGTATAGAAGCTAACTGTAAAATGTGATTTGGAAAATGATTTACTTTGCTAGAAGAAGTGTCTGTTCTTCTCAATTTCTTCTTGATTTCTACTGAGTTTGTTTAGTATACTCATTATATGTATAAACACTCTCTAAACAAGTTTCTACCCTTGCTGCTGAAAATCTAGCTTGATAGTGTAAACCAACGGGGGCAAGGGGGGCAAATTGCCCTAGGGCCTCGATATCTAGGAGGCCTCATAAAGTAATGAATTCCGTTTTAAAATTTAATTGATTTTAAGTAACAGAATTATGCTTAGAAATAGTAAAAGAATTCAAACGATTGTAAAAACAGTAAATGAAATTTCTTTGATATAAAGGACTTGTTCACAGGGGGCCTTGTCTTTTGATTTTGCTTCAGGGCCTCCAAAAACTCCCGGCAGCAATGTAATCTCACATTAGCTGCCTTTTTAAATTCAAAACTTGGTCAAAATTTAAACACTAATTATAGCAATCAGTTGCTTGATGATCCTTGCTGTAAATTTACCGACATGGTGCTTTTCGGAAAGTGTTCGAGGCAGCTCAACCTTGAACCAATAAATGAGAACAGATACCTTTTTCTGTGTTTAAGTTGTGCTCCATTATACCGTCTTCAAAATTGACCCACACCCCTGAAGATATAAACTGTTGCAGGCGTTTTGAATAAACATTTTTCAAATAAAAAGTTTAACTATAAAGTTTAACTTCTTCTTTAAGAAAGAACTTTGCTGTCATCTTGCTTAATTCTCTTCTCTTAAAGTAATGAAGATTTAGGTCACAAATTCAAACGTAAGAAATAATCATCAGTGGCGAAAGAATGAATATTTCTATCTTTCAATGGATATTGTAGACGGAGCAAAATGACGCTTCTGCATTTCGCTATATTGGCCTATCTTGTGTGAATGCAGATTTCATACAGTTCGAAAGTCTACTAGCAGGAAGTATGGAATTGAAACGACCGAAGCAAGTATAGCTTTTAACACTGCAAAATGGTGAGCAAACGATTTCACTGTTGCCTGTTACTTGAAGGTGAAATATTATAGGGTAAATCAATGGGGAAAGCGCACCGTGAAAGCAACCCCACAAGCATCTATTATAACTTCTTTTCAGCTGTTTCATAACGAGGGTAAGAAATCAACGCTATATAGAGGCTATCTCAACATTGGGCTAAATTTTTCTGTCAAAAAACATCTTTCCAGAACTGATAGTTGAAAAGGTCCTTTATACGGTAAGTTTCTCACCATTTTGCAGTTTGCGTAAGACTTAGAATGGAAAGTAACGTATCGAATTTTTTTGTAAAAAGAATGGTTTGCAGCATCTTCACATTGTTCTTGTGGCAGTCAACCCCTACTTACTAGGCCTACTGGCTTTGTCACAACAATCAAACTAAGATAAGTTTTAATGCACTTTGCAGATGAAACAAGGTGTCCTAAAACACCTTACAGTAAGTTTGTTGCTACATGGCCAGAGGTAAGAATATTTAGTGGCAAGTTTATTTGGTAGACCCTACTGCATGCATTGGAAGTACTCTCTGTTACACTTTCTTCCAGTTTGATGTGCCCATACATTAGGTCTATAAAGGCAATAGTGGAAGTGATAAGCGTTTTTATTTTGTGGTGTAGGTAGTTGAGAGCAAAGTTTTGATTTGCACACCAAATTTACAAGGGGGGGGGGGGGGGGGGCGGGGGGGGCCCTGGCCCCTCCACTTTTTTGCAAAACAATAGAGCTTTTTAAAAATTCTTATGTTTTGATTGTTAAAATCTCCCTTGGCCCCCCCCACTTTCCAACTTGCATCGGAGCCCATGGAATGTAGGTGTTTTAGAAACTTCAGCCTACTTGCATGAACATGAATTTGATTCTGCAGGTATGGAAGTAATTGAGACATAATTGGTTATCAGTTTAGAACCTTGGGTACCATCCACATATCATTATGATTGTTGTCTGGGAAGGCTGTTAATATCTATTCTGGAAACAATAGAATACCTATGCCACAGATTGTGTCAACACTGTAACAGATTGTGCCAGTGGTGGTCAGCTCAGGGGACCAATGAATGCGCACGAGGCTGCCCTAACAGGGGGAGCTTGCTATCTTGACAAAAAGTTAACTAGGTGTTACAATTCTAAAAAAAGTAGCCCCAAGATAATCAATGATACTTAATTGATACTGGCTTTGTGAGGAGCAAAAGCAGCTTGACAAACTGAGCACCTTCAACTTTTCCTGAGCTTGATTGAACATCATCAAATATCATCAATAGCAAAATTTTGTTTTTGGCATCAAGCTTTAGACTGCACAAACATGCTAGGTGCTCAGTCAACCAAGATCCTAAAACTTTAAAGGAAGTGTAGAGGTGCTTGATCGAGCTCAAGCGCCTCTCGTTGCAAGGCCAAATGCTGTACTAGAAATAAAAAGTGCTTCAAACAGGTGATAGAGGAGCCCTTTCAAATATGAAAAAATGACCAGCATAGAAATCATCTAAGGTTCTATCTGCTACAGATCTCAAGGTTCAACCCCCCCCCCAATTCTAATTGTTAATTAGGTCAATAAAGAAATCAAAAGTATTATCAAAGTTTTTGGTTTTAATCTGTTTTGATGTGTTTATTAGATGAGCTCTGGTCCCAGTTTGAGAAGTGAGATGTGAGCTGATTAATTTGTAATGATGTCAACAAAAGTCTATCTGTCATGATGTCCACAATTATCTCAATTTCACCTGTAATTGCCTTTGTATCAGCAGTAATTGTCAAACAGCAGCATCAGATCTGTACATCCATTCATGTCACATGAAACCAACTAGCTCCATTCATTTAGTTAATAAACCAATCAAGCATTTAGCATTTACAACCACTTGTTGTAATTGCTAAACAAAGTCTTATTGCCCCTCTAGATTGATGGTTTAACCAAAGCAGCTTAGAAATGGACTCTTCAATGGCAATGAAAACATTTGAACTTTCCAATAATGTAAGAACTGTTCAAAATGCTGATGAGATCTACAAATTTAGCAAAGAGGAGCAGCAATCTATAATCCAACGAAAGCCATGGACAAAAGAGTAGGTTCATTTTATGTTCTCTCTTTGTAGCTGATGTATCTCCTTGACAAACATGTATTAAAGCAAAATCATTAACTAAAAGATAATTTTAATTTGATAGTTGGCCAAATTGTTTGCAAACTCACGGGAAAGGTGAAGATGTTGTTTGATAAATGAGGCATGGCTAAACATTGTCAGTTTACCACTATTTTTACCCATCCTGGACTACAATTGAAAATTATTGCAACAATAAATGGATAGCAGATCCAAGCTGACGTTAAAAGAATCTAAGCTACTTAATACCAATAGCTCAAACACAGAGTTTTTGTACAATTTTTTAACAAAAGTTTATCACTTTTCCTAATTTATTGTAATGTTGTAAAAAAGAATAGCGAAATATTTTTTATTTCAGTCCACATTACTTCAAGAACATCAAAGTATCCGCCCTTGCTTTGTTGAAAATGGTAGGTTTATATTTTTTGTTTACCATGAGACATTAGATGCAAGGAAAAGTTTTGTGTTACTAGATCTTAGGCACTTTTTTCCCATTGTACGTCATCTTGTTTATCTTAATTAAATTTGATCTCCAATGAAAGGGCCTTAAAGAAATTGGTTCAGCGTCTGCATACTACACAGGGTTATATAAAGGATTATTAAAACCAACCATGGCATAAATGACAGGCACAGGAATATAGTGAATATTCCAAAAAGTAACTTTGTAAAGCTTTGCACAATAGTTGTGTTTGAATTTTTCTGGAGAAGAATTTTCAAAACTTCTGGCAGTCAAATCCTGTCCAGTTGTACTTACTACACTATCATAATTTTTTCATGGTTTGTTTACACATATTCTCATCATTTATATCAATTGGATATTTTATTGGGGGTGTTCATTAATATTGAATTTCCAAATATTATCTACAGAATAATTTGTTTCAAATATGATTTTTTTGTAGTTGTTAAATTGATATACTGGTATATTGTTGTCATGGTACAGCTCCTGCTAGTTGTATTTTCATTAAGTATATTATTTCCTAGTTATCTGTAGTTGTTCATGAGTAGGATAATTTTCATAATCATAAGACCAATAGTCATGAGACCTAACCTTCAAAACAGCTCTTGCTATATCTGAAGTAGCATTAAGAGAGCCTTTTTCACATTATTTTTATAAATGTACAAATATTTGATTCTGCAGTGCAAGATTTTGATTGAAATTTGAAACGATTTTTTCCCGGTCGCTTTGATTCCTTGTTTGAATCAAGCCAAAGCATGGTGGACTCTAGCATTGATATATGCAGTTGTTGGTCCATGAATCTATAAGACATTCAGTTTTGCACCTTCATTGTGTACAAAGAATGAGTACATTATTGTAAAATAGGTAATGCATGCAAGATCTGGTGGAACACTGGAAGTGATGGGTCTTATGCTTGGAAAAGTTGATGGTGACACTATGATAGTTATGGACGCCTTTGCATTGCCAGTGGAAGGGACTGAAACAAGAGTCAATGCTCAGGCTGCTGCTTATGAATACATGACTGCTTATATTGAATCAGCAAAATTGGTTGGTTTTTTGTCAGTGTTTTGTTTCATGCTTCCTTATCTACTTAGATTTGTTGATTTGCTTTCAAATTTGTTTTCCTTATATATAATTGAAATGAGAAAGATATGAAATGGTTAATGCAGTTCAGGGAAGGGTTTGATAAAGACAAAATTCTGCTGGAAAAAATCAACATTTGTTTGGGTTTTTTTACAAAATTTGGAATGAAATCCCTTCATAGTTTAAGCAGTTTAACTTTTGCCAAAATTAGAGTAATTATCTCAATATCTATAGATAGTATGATAGCTATAAAGTTCGGGATCTCCCTTTTAAGTATATTATAAAGACTAAAGATTTTTATCACATCGCATATTAAGAGTTATACTTGATTTATCGATACAAACATTCAGCAAATAGATTGTTGCATTTTTCGCTCTTACCAAAAGTGTGTAGGCGAGGCTTTGGATAATGTATTTTTACACTTCATAGAATGTTTCTGAACTGTTTTTAATTTGATTAACTAATACTTGTGTTGATTGCTGAATGCCTACGATGCACGAAGCCTAGAAATACGCTGTGTCAAAAGTAAAAATTATCTGAGTTCATCATCGTCATTCAATGATGTGTAACAATCTTATAAGTCTCAAAACCTTGATTTGGAGTGCAACTTGCTTTTGGACTCTCGATGGCATTATTTATCGTCTTTTACTCAAACATATTTGATGTGATAAAAAAGGAGTCCTCCATCTTAAATTATGCTGGCTATGATACTTCATGTAAAGGAAATGAAACGCAAAGTGATGCACTGTTAAACACTACGTTTTTACAGGTTGGGAGGCTAGAGAATGCTATTGGATGGTACCATAGTCATCCAGGATATGGCTGTTGGTTATCTGGTATTGATGTTAGCACACAAATGGTCAACCAGCAATACCAAGAGCCTTTTGTTGCCATTGTGGTAAGTGTAATGGAAGCGAATAACATTGACCTTGAATAGCTCGTTGGCTTTTTCGATTTCTGACATATTAATCTTTCGTCTTTCATAGCAGGGTACTGAATGAGAAGCAATAGGTTCTATGTTTTCGTCTCCTGCATTTTATACCTCCATATTTTATCAGCATTTACCGCGGTCAATAAACCCAGCCCATGGTCGATCATCTCTTTTTGCTTCCGTTTCTTCGTTATTTCTTCGTTATTTCTTCCTACATATAACAGAGATAAAAACTTATGTTTTCCTACTTTTTCATAAGATTGACCCTACAAGAACGATTTCCGCTGGGAAGGTTAACCTTGGGGCGTTTCGAACCTATCCAAAGGTGAGTAAACTTCCAAAGCCTTTTTGATTCGGAAGTTAACATATAGGATGAGGAAAAAGGAAGCGAGGAAACGTTGTTTTACGTCAAAGTTTTGCTATACGCTCTCTTGGTCAATGCCAGAACTTACATAGTTCTGTAATTTTTAGTCCAACTTGACCTTTTTATTCCAGTCTTGATAGACTGGTTCATTCAATGATCCAATATGATTCAGTAATTCATATCACTTAAAGAAGTCATGTACTTGGAGCTACGAGATATCATTAATATTTTTCTGTTTTTACACAATATTTTCGATACTGTGTAAAAAGTTTGAGTCCATTTGTGGCACATATTATCCTGTACTGAATATGGATAGATTCTGTAACTTAAAATGTGATATACACAAACGCAGTCTTTATTTCTTGAAATTTCCAATTTAGATCTAGTGTAAAATATTTATTGCTGGGTTAGGTTTTATTTAAAACATTATACCATAAACATTTTTAATATTGTAACGTTGCATAAACATTTTAGCCATATACCATATCAGTCGTTGCATAAACATTTTTAATATTGTATCATATATTTATTTAATACTAATTCTTTATAGATAGTTGGCCTTAATTAGCTTCTTTATAGCTATCAGACGTCCATTTAGTACGCCAACTTTAAACAAATTATTTATTATTATTATTATTATTATTATTATTTATGCTGTTTTATTCACAGGGGTACAAGCCGCCTGATGAGGGACCGTCAGAGTATCAAACAATACCTTTGAATAAAATCGAAGATTTCGGCGTGCATTGTAAACAGTAAGGATGTATTCATGCCTGTTTCCAATGCAGACTGCACCGGATGTATCATTTAAGCAACTCTACCGGTATTTCAATAGAAAAACTGACGGAACCCATTTACTTATGACGTAACCCCGGAAAATTACTGTCTGGACGCAGATCATAGGCATATTTGGATCCGTACCAGGTTTTCCAACTTCGAAAACTTTGTTTATGACCCGGATTTTCACGACTTTAAGTTTGCCTTAAAAATGTTCTCTTTTTTTATTTGCCACGCAGTAAAACGCTAAAACATTTCCACGAGTTGAACTCTGACACGAAGTTGAAGTTGACATGTTTATAACTATTATAATGATATTTTAGCAGTTAATCAATTATATTATATTTCATGGTTATCAAATAGATATTTGAACATAAATTCGAACGGTGCTGTTGTTATATTTGACATAATTATTTCTTTGATTTATTTGAAATTTCTTTTGTTAAGGTACTACTCGCTAGATGTTTCGTATTTCAAATCATCGCTGGACCAGAAACTTTTAGACTCATTATGGAACAGATATTGGGTTAACACCCTGTCTTCATCAACGCTGCTGACTGTACGTAACATTTTCACTAGTTTACTGCAAATTAGCACGGGGGTAGCTTTGTTGTTGCTTAAAGCGTTCCTGTGTAGGTTTATATTATGTAGCTGAAGAGTTTTTATTGGTTTTCTTTTCGTAATTTAACTAAAGAGAAACATTCAAAGTCAACAATTTTTCTTATATTTAATCGTAATGACTTAATGCTGCCCAGAATCATTTTCAGGCTGGAATATCCAAAGTTTCAGCTTTTCATCTGTATGTTACGGCTTCACCGCATATGTGAAAGACATATGCATTCAACAGTTTGAAAACATTTACCGTTTTTCCATAAAGTGATTGATGCCTTCTAGACAGGCCTGTACACGAACAGTTGCCTGATGACTCGGTGTGGCAACTTAGAGCCGTCTTGTTCGGTGTAGCAACTTAGAGCCGTCTTGTAATTTACACCAAAAGCGTAAATTCACTAGCTTTATGACATTATTTTCACCAAAGAGAAAAGATGGCCTCAAATCAAATTCCATAGCAATCTAAACTTTAAATGCAAATTACGGAACAATATTTTCAAAAGACGTATTTCTTATGATTTGGTTGGCTTAGGTCTGAAGCTTTCGATTAATGCTTTCAGACAAAATTTGAAAATTGAAGAATATTTTTGTCATGCCGTATATTTTCTACAGAATGCTGATTATGTGACACACCAGATCTCAGATTTATCGGAAAAGCTTGAGCAGGGAGAAAACCAGGTACTTATGTCTTATGATATTCTCAGTTTTTGCACTTTTGCAATAATTATCGACTGTTGAGTATTAAGTATTTGAAGGTCAAATGTAAGTTCCATTCTCGATCGTTTTTCATAGCAGTTGACCGTCATGTGGTAGTAAAGGCCCAACGACTGAACATCAAACTTATAGGCCATGTAGGAGTTGATGAAACGCCAAAATAATGTTTTTAATGATGTTAGAAGTTGCATCCAGGTCAATTCCCTATAATTGTGTTGCGAAACTTTGATATTCTACGGTTTGCTGATGAAAATATAAAAAACAACGAGCTGGATAATCACAAATCGACTTAGAATCATCCAATTCAAGGAAAGATTATTGTAACGGCTCCATCACTCAATACTCATGTTGACATCAATAAACTATGGGTGTCTGTGAAATATGACTTATATAGATTGTAAAAGCGTCATCACGTAATTAATCAGCACAGAAAGAAGAGAAGAGAAAGAAAAGCTTTGCGTTGATAATTTTTCGTGTCACAAATGATTCGTTATGTCCTTGTTCTCGCAAATTTTGAGTTGAATTTTCGGCAATGACATTAGTGCACTGCTTTTTTAAAGGCATTCACCCCATGTGTGATTTTGAAAATCAAATTAACTTTATACCAATTTTTTCAGGTGAATAAATCAGGCACATTTATGCTTAGTATCGACCCTGAGAAAAAGGACGATGGGAAATTAGCGAAGGCGACAAAAGACAGGTTTGTGTCTTAGTTACTCAGTTTTTGTCTGGATTTCCTTCTGGTCTTCTTATTTGTTTTTTTTATTTGATATTCAGTACGATCTTGGTTTACGTTTCACATTTGGTTTTCTTTTGTAAAGTCTCTCAGGACACAGTGTCTGGGGTCTGGAAGCTTTAGTCCTCCTTAGAGAACCTACTTTGTCGGAAAATTTCAGAAATTTCGCTACCTTGTCAAATATTTTTAGGAAATGATTTCCTTTAGTCCATCCCTCCCAAAAAAAATTGACACCCACTGCGCCTCATCTTATAATTTTTTGGTATGATCATTAAATACGACCTTCTACTAAGATCACTTCAAATGTTCGATATACGGGGTCAAAGACATAGACAGACACTAAGCACATAGACATACGGGGTCAAATGCTCAGTCTGATATTTTTGGGTCAAATGCTTACCCAAAGTGATATTTTTTTGACTTAATATTTATCAAAAATGATATTTTTGGGTCCTGCAAAAACAATAGATACAATTTTGATATTTCTAGGTATCAATTTTAAAAACACTGATATCTTTGGGTTTTTGTGAGATTTCCATATCTAAATAAAATGTATTACTCTTACCGGAAGTGTCAATGCTACAGCCATGTGATTCTATCTCTTCTGAAATTACAATTTGTGATATTTTAGGGCATAAGATATGAGTAGAACTGATATTTTTGGGTCTTTTGAAAATGAGCTGATATTTTTGGGTGGCCTGTAAAATTCTTGGACTGACCCCCCGTATGTCTATGTGCTGAGTGCTCCCCCTGGGTGATTTTTATATGCCTGTTGTACTTGAATAACATACAGCTATGCTATTCTTGCATTGTGTCTCAGCATTGCCTTGTTTGGTGCTGTTTCCTTGCCATCAATCGCTTGAGACGTTTCCACTCCAAGTTTTTGAGCAATAAGATGATTATTGTGTTTTATTGATTTTTTTTCAGCTGCAAAACTGGCATAGAAGCGATCCATGGATTGATGTCCCAGGTTCTAAAAGACAGTTTATTCAACCACATTGGTGCTAAAAGCTAGCGAAGATCAATGCATAGAATCCAGAGGACATTGCGAAAACCTGTTTTAGAAAACCCTTTCAAGTTTCCATTTACATGGCATGGGTTTTTGGTTGCATGACGACAGAGACGCGAACTTGTTTACCTAAAAGATGTTGTGTAATCCTGTAGTATTTGTATTTATGTATGTAACTGTAGTTATTTGTTTGTTTTTTCAGTAAATCGTTTTTGTTGTAAAAGAATTAAAAAAAGAAATTAATTGCTAAATACTTTTCGTTTCCTCTCTTTTTGATTCCTTTGCACTATCAATTCACGTTAAATGTTTTCTTGTGAGGTAGGCCCTGGAAATTCATAATCAATTGATTATCCTGTATTATTTTCCACGAATTTGCAAAGTTTGCCCATATTTTTAGGACACATGTTGTAAGTAGCAATTGCTGGGCATTCAGAAAAATTAGAAAAACTCAATCATTCGAATCGAAGAAAGGTTAAGAAACAATTGAATGTGCAGAAAATGCAAAAATGATGAATTAACATTTATCGTTGTTTTCTGTCTCCTATCTCCTATCGTTTTAATCTCATTTGATTGTTCAGTCCATTAGAACCAGGTGATCCTTTTTTCTCTTAATAACATGTTGAAATTAACGCGAATAATCCCCAGTTTATCGTCTCGGTTTGATATCAACCTCGGTTCTATGGACTTTTCCCATTCTCTCATTGGCCGCCATTTTGCTGCAATTTCATTGGATTCTGATCGCTCCGAAATTAAAGATTTCCTACCAACCAGAGTGTCACCCTCAAGGTATTGGTTATTTATTCTTTACTTGGGTTCCACGCGGGAAACTCAACATATTTCGGTTCAAAAACATGGTGTCGATCTCAGCAGACCCACAAAAATTTCGGCGAAATAAATAGGCCATATCAGTGTCAAAAGGAAACGCCACTTTTTCGGTTGTTCGTTGTTTGCTGATTTTTTCATGACCCAGCTCTAGTCTAAACTTGGATAATAACATCAGCAAAAAAATCTTTTTTCGATTTCGCCATTCTAACGATATTTTTTAAGTGGATTATTAAAATTCAAGCAATTCTTTTTATCCCAAAACTCCTCATGCACTTCACCAGTATAAACATTGAGGATTCATAGATTGTGGCTTAGCATCTCAACGTACAGTACAGTTCACAAACTTTCCCAGTAGATTCACCACGGAGATATAACCCATGATTCATTTTTTATTTCCTCACTCCCCAAACAGCGTTTGACAAAACAATGTTTAAATTAAATCAAATAATGTTTGAATTAAATTATATTGATTTAAATTGAAATTATATGTATAAAGCAAATTACTACTCCAGCTAAATAATTCTTTAAGAGATGATTCAAATTTAAAAAAAGGCAATCAGAATTTTACATCATTTGATTGTAGTAGCCAATTTCATGTAATTATTTTTTTTCTATATTTTCAGAGGACCTCCTGTGTACATTCCTAATTGGATCTGCAAATGATGGGTGACCAAGTCCATATGTATGGGGCACATCCGGTAACTTTACCTTTTTTTCTTTTTGTGTTCTTATTATCTCAACCTTGAGGAAAGCCCACCCAAATATTTATATTTTATGTAAAATTCATTTGTTTTATTTAAATCTGCTTAAAAATTTCAGTAAAGATTTTTTAATTTCATATTTGTTGATTGATGCTGAGAATAGCATCACATTATACATTGCTGTTATCGCAACTCATTAATTTATGTGATTGTAATACTTTATGGAAACATTTCTTTTTATATTAACCTATACATGCATGTAGAACCGAAGCTCGAAGCTGTTTAAATGTTTATGATATTTAGCTTTTTGTTGATTACAGGCAAGTTCAGAAGCTTCACAGCTACTATCCACCTTTTGGCCTAGAGTAATGGCAGAAATCAGGAATATGGATCTTGTGAGTTTAGTCATGATAGCTGAAATTATAACAGTTCTAGTGAAATCTCAACAAGGACAAAATATTCTTGACAATGTTTATCATACTAGTGCCATTTGCCTTCCAAAATGATTTCTTAACTAAAACCCTCGAAGGCCATTTGCAGGGGCATAGCTAGCAGGGTGGGTGTAGGGGTGTAACACCCCCCCAATACTCCATCAATTCATCAGTAAATCTTCAGTTTGTCTACAAAATCCTTAGTTTGTCAGTGAAATTGTCTATCAGTAGGCAAAGAAGCACTTAAATTCTTCACCATCTATGTATTTTTAGTAAATTTTTCTATTGATGACCCTCCCCCCTAGTCTGGAAGGTCAAGTGATGCCACTGGCCTTTTGATATGAAAGTGTCTAGTAATCATTAGATTTCTAAATGTATCATTATATAGTCCAGATATTGCTGTCTATTCCATATAGTTAAATACTGAGCAATGATAAGCAACCTTCCCTTCCTTTGGACAAAGCTCTAAATGATTGTTTTGGTTTATGTAGCACTTCCTGTGAACCAGAATCATTAGTCTGTGGCAAAATATTATTTAAGGGTGTTGAAGAGGGCAAGGGAAACTCTGGTCATCAATCCAATCAGTGGCATAACAGACTATAGTTACCTTTTGTTCAAAAACTAGGGACCCCAAACCAAAAGAAAAGTGTTTTCTATGTTATTTTTCTTTCAAGTAGGCAATTTGGCTTTGATAATAGAGGCCTCAAGTTTGTGGAATTTATCAGTCTAAATTGAATGGAGTGTCTGTTGATTACCATTTTATGTTTTGTTTTTACTGCTTATTAATGCTTATAATTGGGGGCTGTGAAATGAAATGTTCCTAGGAGCCTCATCTGCCTCTGTTATGCCATTGAATCCAATATGGATTGGGTGCTCTTCAAAAATGTTAGGAGGGATTCCTAGTATTTTGTTTCATTCAGATATCAACAATGGTATTTTTGAGGAAGTTTTGAATATATTTACCTTCTGCGTTTCATGTTAGCCTTTTTTTCATTTTTTTAATGGTATGGGAAACCATTGCAACAGCTTCCCTATAATCAAACTGGTAGGTTAAATGGCCACTTGTGTTATTGACTGCTGTTGTGACTTCATTGGTTCAAATTCACTTCTCCACCTTCCAAGGACATGCTACTGGATAAGTTTTGGGGTGTGCCTAAAATCTTGGACACAGTTGCTCAGACCATCCCCCTAAACACATATTGGGTGGTATGCATGTATAGTCCAATATCTACACTATCCCCATATTGAAATCTGGTGCATTTGTACTTTTATAGTCAGATATATTAACATTGAACTCGGAGAGGGGGGGGGGGGGTGGTCGTGTTAAAATCTCAATCATAACCTGTGTGTCAATGATTGAGTTCAGCATTCTATTTAAGTAGCAAGTGATCTTTTTGTGACTGCAACCCTTTTTCCCTAGTGACAAAATTTCCCCAAATAAAGTATATCTTGGTCTGAAAGTTTTTGGATCATTTACAAATTTTTATTTTTATTGCAGAATCACTTTAAAACTCAGGAACTGCCACTAGCAAGAATTAAGAAGATCATGAAACAAGATGAGGAAGTAAAAATGATAAGTGCAGAGGTATTAAGCAGCACTTAACCCTAGATTTGTATATACAATTTAAATAGTAGCAGGGATGATTGAAATTGATTTGTACTGATTGGTATTGATTAGTATTGATTGGTATTGATTAGTATTGATTGGTATTGATTAGTATTGATTAGTATTGATTGGTATTGATTAGTATTGCCCTAATGTTGAAAAATCTGCATGATGATGATGTTTTTTTGAGATAACTACTTTTTCACATGATTGCAATTGATTCCCGAAACTGCAAAAGATAGCTAAAAGGTGTCCTTCAAAGCATAATTTTACTTGTCCTTTCAATTTCCATCCATATGTGCCACAAGTTCAGATCTGTTTCATCTAAAAGCTCTATAAAACCCACAGAGTGCAAGTTGATTTTAGATATTCTAGGTTAAAAAATATGTGGTTTGTTTAGGTAATTTTTTTAAAAGGTGGAGACAGATCTTAAATTCAGTTCTTCATGAGAGACAGACAAAAGTTCCTTTTTTTAATTTTGAAAGTAAAAACCTTTAAATGAAAAAATTTGTGCTCTTCAAATGTAATAAAACCCTCTATATACCAATATTTTTTAGATATAGGAAAGGCTAAATTTGGTTTTCTTAGTTAGCCTAGTGACTAGATCAACAAGACCAACAAGAAATTTCTCACTTTTTTGCAGGCACCAGTTTTGTTCTCAAAAGCAGCAGAAATCTTTATCAGTGAGCTTTCTTTAAGAGCATGGATTCACACAGAAGATAATAAAAGGCGAACATTGCAAGTAAGCAACACTTTTTAGTTTTATTTTTAGGCTTGTCTTTGCTAGTGACTAAAGGCTCTTGTATCGTAAAAGCCTAATACACATTGAGCTGTAAATTAAACTACTTTTTTAAATTCTTTAAGTTCCTATATTTAGGAAGTGGAATATTTGTTCTTCAGTCATGATTGCATTTGAGCGAATAGCACAACATTTCATTGTTTCACCCTTCTGCCCTTGATCAGTCCTGCAAATAACCAAATTAGGCCCAGGGAAGCTTAGATGCGATGGACCCCTGATTGTAAGATGTTGTACAAGATTACACAGTAGGCTCTTAAATCTTGCTTGCAAACAGAAGTGTAGGTCACAAGAAAATAGAAATAGCATTAAGTTTATTTGTTTATTAGTGAGTTAATAACAACATTTTTTAGAGATTGTGGTCTGTTTTAATTGCATAGAATTATTCTTCAAATTCAAATTGGTCAATTAGCCCATGATATTCATTTTTGTATATATAACAAAAACTTTACTTTAACCAACATATCACTGACTCATTCGCTGACCCACTAGGCATTCTTTGGCTGTAGCAAAAGGAATAGCAGAAATGTTTTCTCTATCATTTTGTTTTTGGAAAAGGGTATCTCCCCACCCTACAGGCACTACGGAGGAAAGGGGGGGGGGGCTTTAGCAAAAATGCTAAGTGTTAAGTACTAAACTACCAGTAAAACCTCTTTTTATAAAGTTTTAGCCCCCCCCCCTCACTTTTTTTAGACCCCCCACTTTTCTCAATGCTCCACAGTGCCTACCCTATAAGTCTACATAACTGGAAAAGTTTACATTGCTGGGTAAATAAAAGAGCAAAGACCTGCAGTTGCCCTACCACTCACAATGTTATAATCACGTGTTGACCACTGGTTGGAAATGCTTTTAACATTTCTCATCATTTTGAGATATGCATTTAGCAGCAAATATATCAATGCTAAGCCTAGATTGCTACGTGTATATTCTCATTGTCCATTTAAAATCCATTTTTCAATTGAATCATGCATTCTGCATCTATTTTACATGGGAGCTGGACCCCTTTTGTTGTCGGGCCTTAAGACCATTTCCCTCCCTAGCCATCCTTCTGCCCTCCCTATGATATCTAAACTTTAAGTTTGAAAATTCAAGGTAGAACTAGTCTACAAAATGTAGAAAAAATGTTGTAATATCAATTTGGAAACAGAAACAACGTGTTTGCTACCGGAAAAAATTACAAATTGCTTTTGATAGTATCAACTTTCCAGTGATGATAATGTCCATAATTTCTACTTGTTATTTCTCTTTTGTGTTATGATACTATTTTTAAATGATATTCACTTCATTTCAGCGAAATGACATCGCCCTTGCAATTACGAAATATGACCAGTTTGATTTTCTTATCGACATAGTACCACGTGACGAGCTGAAACCGCAGAAGCGACAGGTAGTGTTAATAGTATAATATTGATGATGATATTTTTGTCATGTTGTATATGGAAAAGCCGCTATTGTATAGAAAGAAGGAGTTCGTTTTCACCTTAGGACTCCACTGGTAACATTCTAATAGGCAAGCGACACTGATTGGGCAGCCTCAACAGTCATGTGCTAGCATTTCTGATTGGCCTATTTCCTAGCGTAGAGTTCTCAATCTATGTTCTGACATTTTCTACTCTGAAACACAGATTCAAGTGTCAGACGAAAAGCTTTAGTTTGTTCTAAAATGTTTGCTTTTTTCAAAGTCACTGTGATTTTATTTCGCGAAACTCGGAGACACAAGAGATACATTATTTTATATTCATGAGTATTCTAGGAAATCTTCAAAAAATAAAAGCACAGTTTACGTGTAGTCAGTTCTGATTAACACACACTTATTACTTCAATCCACGAATGGTTATTGTTAGTTTACTGCTACAAAATGTATTTTTGTTTTTCTTACCTTTTATGCTACTTATTTGCGGCTATATTTTAAGCAAAATTAAGGCTACTTATACTTTGTCATTTTCCATGTTTCCTCAAGTTTCTAAAAACAATTAAACGATATCATCTAACGATATCCAATGAATGATTACACAGACAGAAAATGTAATGCTTATTGAACGTGGTCCACCGAGCCGGATATGAAGAGCCGAAATTCTTAGTGGAAATGACACGATTCACTTCTGTTACAGGGAACGATGGTGCCTGAACAAGTGCAATATTATTTACAACTTGCTCAAATGCAACAGGTACCATTATCTAGATTTATTATTCTAGACTTATTTATGTATATATGTAATGAATGATAATTAATTATTTGCAATCAATAATTTTATTTCAGCATTCGTTAGAAATGTCATCTTTTTGCGCATTTTTTATTCCGATGGATTTTGACACCTCTTCCTCTCTGAAGTTTGATCCCATGGTACTGCTGGTGAAGAGATTCAACTTTACTGCACAAAAGCATGTGTTTTGCCAATACACATTGTTTTGCAAATAGTGTATAAATTAGCCTGCGTGTAAACTTTACTTTCCGTTGCGAAGGAGAGCCAGGACGGAGCCAGTCTGCGAATTTCCTTCCGTTATTGAGTTCTGAGATCAAATGCTCTTCTGCGAAGAGGAGCTCAATCTTGCGCAATAAGTTGACCCGCAAACAGGAAGCATCACGGACAATATCGAATGAGACTAAAATATTTTCAAGTGCGATCGAAATTTAGAGGAAGGATTTGGCGTTTTTAACCAAAAAGCAAAAGTTTTGTGCCTTGATTTTCAATTTTTGGTTCCACTTTCGAAAAATGTTTGTAGAAACTGCGTTGATGTATTGAAGAAAAGGAAAAAGTTGCAAGAAGGTCAAAGTAAATGAAAAAGTGATATCAAAGTACAGGAAAGTTGCAGGTGCAATCAGCCTTTGGTTGGAAGGCCTTTCTGGCTCAGGGAGATCATCAAAGATCTGAAGGACATTACTGTTTGAGGAACAAGATAAGTCATCTGCGTCATTCAAGGTGGATCGTTCGAATTCAAAGCCTGCAGAGGTGATAGGCCTATGCTCACCGATAATTTGTTCCCCTCCAAGGCGATAATTGTCATGCTGACAAACGTTCTACAAAAAGTTACCAATCTCGTGATCATGACCAGTATAAAAGCATAGTTGAGCCCTCAGTTGTTATATCCGTTGACTGGGCCTGAGGAATGAAAATAAAGCCGTTGTTTTTCCAATTTCCAGAACGACTGTGTGGTTTTGAATCATGCGGATTTATCAGCACGCGATGATTGTGCTTGAATTTGATTGGGTCCTTAAAATCTCAAACCAGATACTGATTGGCTAAAAGACAATACTTAGACAAAGACGAGATTTATTGCACAAGGTCTCAGAATTCAAAAGTCGACGCTAGTTCGCAGAATTTACAAGTTCCGTATTGGCTCTCCTTCGCAACGGAAAGTAAAGTCTACACGCAGGTTATGTATGAATGTTCTCTTTCAATCTTCAAAGCCCAAAATTATTCACAAAGATCTAATCTTTTTTACTAGATAGGAGGTAACATTTAACAAGTAACAAGACTTTGTCATGAAAATATTACCACAATATTGAAGGGTTTTTGAGTCGGGGGCAGACCCTTCTGATGTCCCCGCCCTTCAAGAAACGCATGGTATAGTGCGCATTTTTGGCACCCAAAGAGCATCACAGAAGTCTGTACACCACTTTCTACCTTGCTCGTGTTTTGATTATTTGTAGACACAACAACCCTCAGTAAGCCAGAGCTCACAAGTCCAGGTTTCTCAAGCAGGCCATGCCATTCTAGCAGCTGCTCCTCATGTTTCCGTCTCAATTAATCCAGCCACGGTAATTCTACATTTTCGTCTCACCACATCAGTGTAAGCGCTGGATCTCATTCCTATTAACTTTAACTTCTAATGTTTAGGTTAAGCAAGAAACATAAGTTGCTCCCCTGTCATGACTTTAAACGCAACTAGCACTTCTGTTTAAAGTTGAATAAACTTGTCGTTATTTGTGAATTACCTTTTGGCAGTGGAGCAGTTTTTTTGCGGTTTTCTTGAATTTTTTTCAAGTATATTGTGGTTTTGATCGATGGCCTGTTTAATCAGCAATATCTCGCAATATTAAATCATGATATAATGCTGGATGTATATTAATATTCTAAGATAACAGGCGTGGCAGCGTAAGTGCCTAACATTCGGTCTAGTGAACTACAGTATGTGTTTGGGATGTTGTTACCAATGGGAATCAAATTCGTTCCTTAAACAAGCAAGCATTCATAGGCATGGCAGCAGAAACTCAGAAGTAAGATACCATCCACTTAATTTATTGGTCGTTGTCCACTTTAATCACTGCAAAGTAATAATTGTATTCTGTTTTCAGTCTCAACCCCAGATCATTCAAATCCAGCCACCAGATCACCAACAGCAACAACAACAGCAGCAACATGTTCAGGCAAGTGCATCCCAGAATGCACAGCAACACGTCCAACTTCACCTACAGCCTGGGACATCAGATTTACAACAATATGCGGTTAGTGACTAAACTCTGTTGGCTGTTTTTTATGTCTAGATATGTCTTTGGAAACAGAGCCACGAAGCTTGTGTCATTTATGAAGCAGCGCTATGGAATATTCTTCATTGCTTTTGGCTCGCATTGGAAATACAATGCTATCCATACCTGCTTAGAAAGTGCCGGAACACTGTTTGCGATGGCTTTCATCTATCCATACTTTGATTACTCAACTCAGTTAACAATACTTTAAATGGCTTCATTCATATATTTTGGAAGGAAGCTTTCCGCTTGTAATTCAAGGAATCTCTTTTCTATGAGTTGGTCAGTTTTAAAACATTCTGGGTGTATATTAATTGGCAAATAAACTGAAAACAATCCCTGAGTGTTGATCAAGCAAAAGAAAATGCATTGGTATCTCTGCTGATAATGTCTTAAATCTATCTGCCCAATGATGTGAATGGATTGTGGGATGATGTGAGTGAATGGTTATTATGTTATCACAGGTTCAGCTGCCTTCGGGTGCCCAAATGCAGTACAGATTAGTGCCACAAATCATTCAGCAACCCGGTGGACAAACTGTCGTGCAGCTTCAAGCACAGCCGCATCAGATTCAGCAGACAGCTGGCGGGCAAACGGTGATTGCAGTTCAGCCAGCGAGCAGCCAACAAGACGGGCAACAGCAAGGCTCAGAAGTCAACTACAGCCAGGTATGTTGAATACAGGGAGTGATGCGCAAGGCTTAGTTATGCGCAAGACCTAGTGATGATGCACTTTTGTGCATGCGTAAGACTTACGTTCCGAGTCGCGCAAATAGGATGGCTTCGTGTTCAGGGCTGCAGGCTACAGATCAAAGGGTCTGGGGCTCGTGTCATTAACAAGACCAGAGATTTAAAGAGATGGGAATCAACGGCTTTCCGTATTTCCCGGCATAGGAATTGCGAGGTGCAGTCACATCGAGAGGAAGGACTAGGACACTGCTTTATAAGCGCGGCTTCTCGGTGTCCTAAAACCTACCTTCAGAAGCTAGGTAGCAATAAATACAAATCTTATACCAGTTCTCCTAACCCTAATAGATGATTTCCTTGAAACCATCATTTATCTACTTTTTACACCCAATACTAAATCAAAAAAAATTCAAGCAATGCTCTGATTCTTAAATGTCTCAACCATACCTAGTTTTTATCCTAAGAGTTACTTTTTCCCATCTGCAAAGATTAAATTTTTGCTTCTATCAATAAATTCACATTGCTACTAGCCACCTGAAGTAGCTGATATTTGATACACCCTCCCTCTCCTTTCGCCTCGAAGCCTAGCCTGTTATTCATTATGTTATTTTTTTATCTTTTGTTAGCCATTATATTAGCACATAACAAAGATTCTATTTAAGAAGTTATTATTGTATATTATTTATATATATTAGCAAGTTCTATACTTTCCTTTACTTTGCTTTATGACAGTTCAAAATAATGCTTTTTTTTCTTGAATTCATTAAAAAATAATCTAGAAATAATTTAGAATATCTAGAAATCAAAATCAAATGAAATTTGTGTTTAGATAGCTATATTAAATCTTTGTATAATTACTATAATAGACTTTTGAATTTTGGTTTAGATATATCAAATCGCGGCTGCACAGGGAGGAGGCCAGGCGCCGATCTTCATTACTGCACATCCAGAGCAAAACCAAGAAAACCAACACGATTCAGAGCAGAATGATTGATTGTCATGATGTCAATGTATGCGTGTCAATCAGATACTGTAGATGTTCGCGCTATCCGTGAAACACTTAATAGCGACATAGGATAGCAGCGCTTTGGGCTGTAGCATCTTCTTTGTATATAGTTGTATTGACAATACTGTATCAGAGTTACAAATACCTTTGTTCTATTGGTAAATAGTATTGATTAATCGAAGGCTCTCGGGCCTTGCTTGTATATATATTTTTCTTTATTAGGTTTAGTAAATTGAAGTTTATCCTTTCATCACCGGGTTCTTGGTCTAAAGTTTATCCCCTTCAAGTAAGAAGCATGGTTTGTCATCATCATCCTTCAATATAATATCTCTATAGAGGGGGGGGGGGCACGTTTATTATCTGCTTCAAACTGTTCTTTCTAATGCATTCGGCGCATCATGTCTAGCCCCCGTTTCTGCCGAAGGCAGTTTTTATCCTTATTTTACCATCTTGGCCCCAAATATCCTTCGCTATTTTCTGCTTTGTGCAGACATTTACTTTTTCCAGCTTTTCATGTTTCTATCCCAAGGCATTCTCATTTTTAAACATTTTTCTGACTGGACCATTTCTCAAAATCTCAGTGGAAACATTGCTTTTCATCAGAGAGTTGTTTATACAGCAATTCAAAAGTTTAAAAATTACCAATGTCCCGATAGTCCATAGACGAATGTAATTTCAATGTTGATTCTTAAGACACAATATTAACGTAGCTATATGCAAAATGGTTATTTTCATTAACTCCTGACGGTATGTTTTTAGATAGTTCATGAAAAACGGTATGATAGATACTAATCTGATCCGCCGGTCATATCCTGACCTCTAGCCATTGACCTTAAACATGCTGACCTTTAATATTTTGACCTCTCACATCTTGACCTCTTACATCGTTATTTGGCCTTTCGTTGACCTTTTTCTTTACTTTGATAGGCCTCATTACATTTAAACCCTGTATGTAGGTACATTTTTTATATAAAAAACAGAAACCTTAAAAATAGGTAAATGGTTTTGGATATCATATTTCTGTCTCACTTCTCTTGTTGTGATAATGATATTGAAAGAGTATAATGTACTTTGCCAGTTATGATGGCAGCCTTGTCAGTTGTGCGTACAAGTCAACGTCTTTTTAAAGTTGACATGCATGTCTTCCTTGCTGCCGGTTTTGTTCCCAATGAGCAATGGTGGTTAGCTTATAAGACCTTGTGTTTGAGCAGAAGCAATTGGCGTGAAAATATTGAAGGACCAAGTCCCTAATGTTAAGACACTTGGAATGCCACGCTAAATTTGTTCCATTTGGATGTTCCATGTTCCACATTAGAAATCCGAAATTGTCAGCAATTGGTTCGGATATGAAATCTGTGCTTGATAATGCATGATTTTGTGACACCTTATTTGTCACATCTTCAAAAGCTGGCTAATGAAAGATATTAAATATTGTTAATTCTAAAAGGTATTAGGTATAATGCTTGATTAATACTCACTAAACAAGCTGTTTATCCATAATATAAAGGACGAGTAAAAGAGGAAATGATTTCGTAGAGAGAGCCAGATGATTCAAAATACTAGGAAGGTTATAATGTGATGGGATTATCATCATCCGTCTATGATGGCTTCTCTGCAGCTCATGATGTGAGCGATTGATTATCACATCAATCAATCATGTCAATCAATCACGTCAATCACTTCATGTCAATCAATCACATCCATCTGTCATGTCAATCAATCACATCCATCTGTCATGTCAATCAATCACATCCATCTGTCATGCCAATCAATCATTACAAAGCAATGAACTGAACGAGCATTAAATTTGTGTATCGATCCTTTTGTTCATTGCGAAATGTTGCCCTTTGAGATGTCACATTTTCAGAAATTTTGAAATTTTGTCACAAATATATAAATAAAGGTTTCAACTTGCCTTGTCATTTGACATAAGACAATTTTCATGTATTAGGCATTAGCAAGGGTGAAAAAAAAGATTGGAATGTCTTGAGTATATGAAAGATAACGGTTTTGTAGAAGCCTAATTTAATTTTTTTCTTAGACAACTTTGTATTATTTATGAACTTAGTATTATTGTATTATAGACACTTTCTTAGACCATTTAATTTTTCAACTGAGTAAACAAGACTAATCTGTAAATCTTGGTATTGCAGAAATAGATGAAATGTACTACAGAGAAAAAGGGGAGGAAACAGCATTCCTGCAAAAGCAAATCAAGAAAAAAAGTTAGTATCTTTTTTTGCTGTTATCGTTTACATGACGCGATGGTATTATGGCGAGTGAGCTTTGATTAAATATGCATTTAATTGTCTGGTCGTCCATATGTGCAATAAAGTCGACAATAAGTTTAGTTCAACAAATTTCAATTATTGTGCTAGGGCTGTTACCGAGTGATACTTCTGCAAATCTATACGAAGTTCCAGTTCATGCAGTGTATCTGTTTCCTAAATGCGTATAATGGTATATTTTCATTCTCAAATTATCTGCAATGGGTCGTAGAGCTGGGCACCATTGGGCAGGCACAACGGAAGGATGCAAGAATCTTTTGTCATGTGCCTCTTTGCACTTTTACATTCGAGACGAGATTTTTACCTGTTTCATGGCTCGTTTTCAAACAGGTTTTAGAGAGTATATTTCGAACCTTCCATAGGTCCCAAACACGACCCCTTGGTAGAGCAGCCATTCGCATTATTTTATTTTATTTGTTTATTTTTATTTTTTTTCTCTTATTATTGCTAAACAAATATTGTAAATAGGTCTTTTTTGCTGAAAGGTACCTCGTGTAAAATAAATACTATTGATTATTATTATTGTCGCAGAATCGTCCTGACCGTTCAACCTACGTTCTGTAGAATTGATTTCTAGGAACCAAACCAAGGTTTCATGGTCGCCTCTCTTTGATTACAACTCAACCAATTTTCGCGACAAATGCAAAGCATGAAACTACAAAGCGGCTTAAATAATAAAAGCGGATAACTAGCAATTCTTATTATCATTTTATATTTTTAATTCCTTTTTGACTATTCAATTTTGGCAATATTTTATGTCATCTAGTAAACTTGGCTTCGTGCTTGGTTGACAAAAAATAGAATGCAAGAAGTGTTAACAATTCTCGCAATGCGTTTATGTTTGTTTACGAGATTACACTGATAAAATGTGCCTCCTTTAAATTGTAGTAGTACAAATAGAAAAATAAGTTACAATCGTGATATTGCTGTATCGCTACAAATATGTCAAGTTGCTTGATGGAAGTAGTACAAAAAGAAGAAATAATTTAAATTTGTGGTTTAGTTTTATCGTTCTGAATATTATACTACTTTCGTAAACGATTTTAAGTAAATTTTCCATAAGTACTACTTTCAGCGATCAACTTAATAGGTTCCTAACAATGCAGCAATACCACGATTTCAACTCTTCGGTGTCCTTTAATTTTTTCAATAAATAAATTTGCTAAATCTCTAAGGATACATTGATAACAGGGTTTAACCTCTTTATCTACCTGTTATAACCATTAGAGATGTTTCTTTCTTTCTATAGTTTACTATTTCTTACCTTTCATAACTACAATCCTTGCCAAAAGTACTTCCACAACCCAGCAATTTACGCTGCATTTGATATCTTTCATTCCTTTCATGAAACAAATGCTACTTCCGCCCCTTCCCCCTAAAACAATGTTGATAATTTAGAAAAATATCATGAAAGAAGCGCAAAAGAAAGTGCTTCCTAAAATATTCACCCGTTTGATAGTAAACCAACATTGTTCTGTAGGGGAGAGGGGGAGGATTAACTTGAACTTGGAAATTGATGTCAGTGTTCCAAGACTTTTGGCAGGCATTGTAGCTTTTGTAATCAACATTTGCACCTTATTGTGAAATATCTTACTCATCTTTGTCACTTGCTACAAAGAAGAAATTTGATCTCTCCTGTGTACTTTTTGCTTTTCCTCCACCTCTGTTAAAGGCTACTGCAAATCTCCTCTTCAAATATTGAGAACCTTCTCGTCTGAGATTCAGATTGAAATGTGGCCAGCTTTCACTTCGCGCGACCTTTATTGTAAATTACTTGATTGTGACGTAAAATTGATTAATTGCGTCAGAATAGAAACACACTTTCATTAAATAACAACCCTTTTTGATGAGAAAACAATTAGAATCTCAATTAGGGGTTCCCAATAGCTTATATTTTCCTCTCTACTAGCCTACTTCATTTTGAAGTTTGAACGGCTACTTTTGTTAATCACCTTTATTTATTTCTAAGGGTACATTTATTCTGCAATATTAACTACCTTCCACTTGAACTAATTCCATGATTAATTTGATAGAACTACAATGATCTTGCAATACCTGTATGTTCAATAAGTTTCAATTAATCAACTTGATACATTTCTAGCAATACATTGACAAAACCTTTTTCCAAAATCTTCTACTTATACTAATTTGATCAATCAAGTCGATAGATTTCTTACGATACAGCTATACAACGATTTTACAAAATTTTTTACTTATACTATTTTCATCAATCAAGTTGATATAAGTGTTACGATACAGCCATACAACGATTTTACAAAATTTTCTACTTATACTACTTCCATCAATCAAGTTGATATAAGTCTTACGATACAGCCATACAACGATTGTACAAAATTTTTTACTTATATTATTTTAATCAATCAAGTTGATATAAGTGTTACGATACAGCCATACAACGATTGTACAAAATTTTTTACTTATACTATTTTCATCAATCACGTTGATAGATTTCTTACGATACAGCCATACAACGATCTTACAAAATTTTCTACTGATACTATTTTCATCAACCAAGTTGATAGACTTCTTACGATACAGCCATAATGCGATTTTACAAAATTTTTTACTTCTACTAAATTCATCAATCAAGTTGATATAAGTGTTACGATACAGCCATACAACGATTTTACAAAATTTTTTACTTATATTATTTAAATCAATCAAGTTGATATAAGTGTTACGATACAGCGATACAATGATTTTACAAAATTTTCTACTTACACTATTTTCATCAATCAAGTTGAAAGATTTCTTACGATACAGCCATAATGCGGTTTCACAAAATTTTCTATTTATACTATTTGCGGCAATCAAGTTATTAGATTTCTTACGATACAGCCATACAACGATTTTACAAAATTTTTTACTTATACTATTTTCATCAATCAAGTTGATATAAGTGTTACGATACAGCCATACAACGATTGTACAAAATTTTTTACTTATACTATTTCCATCAATCAAGTTGATATAAGTGTTACGATACAGCCATACAACGATTTTACAAAATTTTCTACTTACACTATTTTCATCAATCAAGTTGATAGATTTCTTACGATACAGCCATACTACGATTTTGCAAAACTTTCTACTTACACTATTTCCATCAATCAAGTTGATACATTTCTTACGATACAGCCATAATGCGGTTTCCAAAAATTTTCTACTTATACTATTTGCGGCAATCAAGTTATTAGATTTCTTACGATACAGCCATACAACGATTTTACAAAATTTTTTACTTATACTATTTTCATCAATCAAGTTGATATAAGTGTTACGATACAGCCATACAACGATTTTACAAAATTTTCTACTTATACTATTTTCATCAACCAAGTTGATAGATTTCTTACGATACAGCCATACTACGATTTTTCAAAATTTTTTACTTATACTATTTTCATCAATCAAGTTGATATAAGTGTTACGACACAGCCATACAACGATTTTACAAAATTTTTTACTTATACTATTTTCATCAATCAAGTTGATATAAGTGTTACGATACAGCCATACAACGATTTTACAAAATTTTCTACTTATACTATTTTCATCAATCAAGTTGATATAAGTTTTACGACACAGCCATACAACGATTTTACAAAATTTTCTACTTGTATAATTTTCATCAATCAAGTCGATATAAGTGTTACGATACAGCCATACAACGATTTTAAAAAATTTTCTACTTA